AAAAAGGAAGAAATTATCCGAGTGGTCAGTTTATATACTGACCGCTTCGGACGGAAGGGGACCCCGTGGCCGTTTCTCATTGGACCACCATGCACTCCCAGATTCGCAACAAATAAAATAATACAAAATAAATAATCCATTCACCCGCTCACATTTGGCGTCGTCGGCAGGATGGTGATGAATTTGCTATTCTTTTCACTGGATGACCAGAGAGACTGCCTGCTCTCTTCACCGCTCTTTCCACGCAAAAGACAGAGTTGAACAAGCCGGAAACCGACTTCCACACACCTCACACACTACACGTAAACAAATAGTCCCTAATTCACGGATAACAAACCAAACACGACGAAACATGCAACAGAATATTATAAAAAGACACTTAATATAAACAATGACAACAATATAAACGAAATATATATAAACTAGCTATAACCAGGAACATAAACAGTGAGACAGCGGCGCCATAATACGGGACTACACAACTAAAAATTACGAACAATTTACGACATGAAACGAAACGATACATTCGCCTTCTAAGTTACAAATAATAAAAATACACTCCAGCCGCTCACATACACGCCCCTTAAAGCTTGCGGTCACCGCAAGCTAACAAACTTGAAAAAATCAGCCCACAGGGCATAATCATATATGTTACAAAAAAACAAAAAACGTTGCAAAAGAACTTGCAAAAAAATCAGCCCACCGGGCACAATCATAAATTTTACAAAAAAAAACAATCTTTGCCAGAAAATCAGCCCACAGGGCATAATTATATATGTTACAAAAAAACAAAAAACTTTGCAAAAGAACTTGCAAAAAAATCAGCCCACAGGGCACAATCATAAATTTTACAAAAAAACGTGGTCAAAAAAATCAGCCCACAGGGCACAATCACAAGTCTAGCCTACTAGGGACTCTGCGCTCCCTGACCGACCTACGCAGAGGTATGTCAGGTACTGTGGGGTTACCGGCTGCTCTGGTCCCTGGCAATTGGACCTTATAAATAATGTGGCTGTAACCTGGAGTAGCCGGCGGTATCACTTTGACCGGCCTTGGGGAGGGTGGTTGAGCCCGGGGAGGCACATATCTCCTGATCTGGGTGCTGGCCACCCGGCGGGTGCCAGAAGGGCCATCTTTCTTTTTAATGGCGTAACACCCGCCGGTGATCGGAGGTACTTCGACCACGACATAAACTGTCGGGCCGTACAGATCCGCCATTTTGTGCCTGCCCAGGGGGTGCTGCCTTAACAGGACCAGGTCGCCTATGGCCAGTTCAGCGGCTGGCCTGTTATTGGTCTGTCTGTCCCTCTTGGTGGCCTCTATTTGCAGCCTCTCCTGGGCTAGTTTGTGCAGGCTGGCCAGTCGTGTTAGGTGGCCCTGGAGGTAATCTCCAGCACCACCACTATTTGCCGGAGGGGCTTGATTTAAAAATATGTCCAAGGGGATGGCTGCCTCACGCCCAAACAACAGCTGGAACGGGGAGAAACCTGTTGACGAGTGCGGGGTTGTGTTGTAGAGGAAGACCAGCTCGGTCAGGTACCGAGGCCAGTCCTTTTTCTTGTCAACAGGTAGGGTCCGAAGCAGATCGTGTAGAGTCCGGTTGAACCTCTCTGCTTGGCCGTTTCCTTGGGGGTGGTATGCCGTTGTTCGGGACCTCTGTATCCCATAATGGTCGCACAGTTCGTGTATTACGGCTGCCCCAAAGCATTTGCCCTGGTCCGAGTGTAGTCGCCTGGGGACACCGTAGTGAACTATCCAGTTCTGCACCAGGGCCTTCGCCACGGTTTTGGCTGTCTGGTCCTTCGTCGGAACAGCAACTGTCCACTTGGTGAAAACATCGGTGAGAATCAATACATCCTCCGTACCGTCTGCCGCTTTGTCCATCAGGGTGAAGTCGACTGCCACAACCTCTAGGGGCATGGTGGCCAAAAGATGACCTTTAGGCTGGTGCACCTTCAGACTGGTCATTTTCGCGTGCTGGCAGCGGTCACATGCCTGGCAGTACTGGCGTATATCTGCCTCCATCCCCGGCCAGTAGCATCGTTGCCGTAACAGCTGCAGGCAGCGGTCTGGTCCTTGGTGGCCGTTGTCGTTGTGACTTAGACGGAGTACCTCTGGTCGTAGTTGATTGGGGATAACGCATTGTGCGATTTCCCCTTGACCTGGCAGTTTCACTGTGCGCTGCAGGATACCGTCCTTCAACCTGAGTCTCGACTTTTGTCTCAGGAGAATCTGGGCTGGGGGTGATAGAGTCGAGGAATGTAATCTGTGGCCGGGCGTCAGGAAGGGTAGGATCTCCTGAATGGTTGAGTCTACCTGTTGGGCATTCTTCACATCGGCCGGTAAGGCCGAAGACAGGAAATTGCAGTGGGCCTCCAGAGGGACAGGTTGAGGTGTTGATATTGCCACCTCTGGTGGGACCCGTGTGGTGACCTGGTACACTCCGGAGTACTGGACTTCTGGATCTCTGGCTGCAGGCTTGTCCACAGGAAACCTGGACAGGGCATCCGCATTGGCATTGGATTTGCCGGACCTGTATTTTACTTCGAAGTCGAAGACATCTAGGTCAGCAATCCAGCGGTGCTCAGTTGCACCGGTCTTAGATGATTTAATGTAGCTAAGCGGATTGTTGTCTGTCAGTACCAATGTCTTGCTGCCCAGCAAATACCCTCTGAATTTTTCGGCCATGGCCCACTTCAAAGCCAAAAGTTCTAACTTGAGGGCACTATAGTTTTTCATGTTTTTTTTCATTTACTCGGAGTGACCGGCTGGCGAAGGCTATTACCTTCACCCCATCCGCTTGTTTCTGGCTTAGGACTGCACCCAAACCGTAGCTGCTGGCATCTGTCTCTAGAATAAAGGGTAGGGTAAAGTCAGGGTAACCCAGAACAGGCGTGGTGGTCAAGGCCGTCTTAAGCCGGTTAAAGGCTGACTGTTGTTCTGGGCCCCACAGGTTGGTTATGTCCTGCCGTTTGTTTCGCTTGCCGAATTGTTCATGAGTATTGGTGACCACTTGGTGAAGGGGCTGTGCTATGTTGGCAAAACCTTTAACAAATCTTCGGTAGTAGCTGGCAAGGCCCAAGAAAGAACGGAGTTCTTTTAGGGTCTTTGGGGGCTGCCACTCGCTGATGGCTGTAATTTTCCCTGGGTCAGTCTTCACACCATCCTTGGACACCACATGTCCCAGGTAGTGCACGCTCTCCGCCCCAAACACACATTTCTCAGGGTTAAGTTTGAGACCGATATCTCTCAGTCGTGCGAGTATTGTGCGCAGGTTGGCCAGGTGTGAGGTGAAGTCTGGGGCATATATCAGGATGTCATCCAGATAGGCCAGCATGATTCTCATGATGTGCTCACTCATTACCCCCTGCATTAATCTGGAAAAAGTCTGGACGGCGCCACATAGGCGAAATGGCATTCTGGTCCACTGGTACAGACCAAAGGGAGTAACGAAGGCAGTCTTTTCTTGGTCTTCTTCAGCCATGGCAACCTGGTGGTAGCCACTGGCCAAGTCCAGCGTGGAGAAGAAGGTTGACCCCGCCAGGGCATCCAAAGTTTCATCGATTCGGGGCAGCGGGAACGCATCCTTCCGGGTTATGCCATTCAGCCTCCTGTAATCGCAGCATAACCGGATCTCGCCATTCTTTTTCTTCACGATGACCATTGGAGCTGCATAAGGGCTGGTGCTGGGTTGGATAATGCCCCTGGTAGTCAACTTTTCAATGTGTTCTTTAACCGCAGCGAACTCTGTAGGCGGAAGCCGGCGGTAGGGTAACGCTACTGGTATGTCACTGGTTAGTGGGATGCTGTGTTTAATTTTGTCCGTGAAACCCAACTGGTCGTCTGTCCAAGCAAAAACGTCTGTGAATTCCTGGAGTAATTTCTCCAGAGCCGCCCGCTGTGGTGGGTCTAGGGTTTCTGCCATCATGCTGGAAAACGAGGGCTCTGGCATGGAAGTGTGGGTCTCGCTGGACAGGGATGAGTCTATGACCACCTCAGCAGCCAGAGAGTTGACCCTGAACTGCAGGTTTGGGGGGACCAGCTCGAACGGGTGGATTGTTGCTAGACAGGTCCTACTGGAGATGTAGACGGGCTCCTCAGACAGGTTAGCCAATATATATATATATCGACTTGGTTTACCAAGTACAGCAAAGTCACCTCTCCCAATCCAGTGGGCGTGAAGCCAGTAAACAACTTCAATCCGCCGTGTGTGGGAGCAAATACCTCCACCGCCACAGGTCGCTGAGCACTGCGTGTAGTTCAGCCAGTTTCGCTCTCAGCTGTTTCAGCTGTCGAATCAGCTGCTGCTTCGGGTCGCTGCTCATGACTGCCCACGCTGGGCGACTGAAACATAACACAGATTCAGTGACCATGTCGGTTGTGTCGCCCACTGGGGTAACCTCAAGAGAACACAGAAGACCATTCTGTTGAGTAAAGCCAGTAATGCACGCTCCATTGAGTCGCATCGTTATGCAAAATATAATGCATTATATAATATTTAGAACATTGCTACATTCTGTATTTAGCTCAAAGTAGCCTAGTCATTATTGCCAAATCAGTTCTAAATAGATGGCATTTCATTGAAAAAAATCAGAAAAGAATGCATTGATGTATAAAATTATTTAAATATAATATAAGACATAACTAAAACATTAAACGTAACTAAATCTAATCTTAACCGTAGACTTAAACTGATGAACAGCTCAACTATATTCATTTCTTTAAAACTGGTTAAAATGAAATTACGTAGAGCTGAAATTTGGTATTAAAAGAAACTAAATTTATTTGATACTTTTTGTGATTTTTTTGTGATTTGTAAACACAATAAAAGCCTTTCTTATTAACACTTATTAACACAGACTTGAGTTCATATTCTAGCCAAGAGCCAATCGTGATATCGATAAAAATACATTAGATAAGAAATGTGATAAAACATAATATGTATTCTTCACATTATTCCAGCGTGTGGTGGCATACTTCACCAGAGCTATGGAACAATTATGTCTCCTAACTACCCGTTTGGTTATCAAAATAATCAGCTTTGTGAATGGGTCATCAAGGCAGGTTACGGGAAAGTGATCGACCTCAGGTAAATAAACCATTCATACGTTTGGTACGTGACAACTAGCCATACACACTTATATTTAATACATCAAACCTGACATAAGTCCGGGGTGAACGGAAAAAAAGTCACAGAAAAAAAAAAACACAGTGGAAAAATTTTATCGGAAAAAAAGTCACAGAAATAAAGTCACAGAAAAAAAGTCACAAAAATCTTTTTAGAAATATTTTTATTAATTTGTTAAGAATTGTAAAAAAAATTATGTTTATTATTGTGGGTTGTATTTTTTTTATAGCATAAATTATATATATAGACGTTAAAAGCATTATGATTTATAACAATTGTAAGTAAAAAATACTCTAAGATAATTAACACAACAATCTCAACTTTTGTTACGTATTTAGTTAAATACGCGGTAGAAAAGAAATTTAGGCACATTTTGCCGTAGGCTATTTTCTGGTCGGCCTCTCCTCAGTAGGCATTGTCCGAACATATTTTGTGTTGTTGACGTTATGCGTCATCGACAGCATTTGAACCTTGTCGGCTTTGTGTTTTGATCCTAAGTTTTGTTATGTAATGAGCGTGATAAATGTGGGCAGTAAAGGTGGTTGAACTAAACATAACTATTGTTGCCATGAGTTGAGGGCAGCAAGTCAGATGAACTTACCATTTCACGGTAATTTAATATTGGTATTTAAAAAAAAAAACACGATGAAAAACGTGGGCTTTGGAGCATTCTATTAAATGCTACTAATCTTAAGTTTAAAATAACTACAATCTACATACTTCATAATAAATATTTTTAGATGAATTATAAAAATTCCTATGCGTATACAGCCTACACACATTACATTACATTTAATTAATCCTAAGTTAATTTGCACTCTCTAAATATTTAATACATAAAAGTATTAACAAATATCATTCAAATATATATTTGTGACTTTTTTACTTTCTCGTATATACGAAGTATAGAGAAAGTCTTGTAATCGTGCAAAAAAGAAATCAAGATTTTTACAAATCTCGACGTTTTACATCTCACTAATACGGAAAAACATAATTTTGCAATCTTGTCCGTATGTCTGTGTGTCTCTCTCTCTGTGTGTGTGTGTGTGTGTGTGTGTGTGTGTGTCCGTGTGTAAACACGATAACTTGAGTACCGTTACAGCTAGGTTGATAAAATTTCATATATAAGTAGTTTATCAAAATCATAGATCCGTATCAACTTTTGAGCGATTTCCGATAACCGGAAGTGGTACTTTTCCTACTTTGAATTTTTCAAAAGCCTATAACTTGAGTACTATTTCAGATAGATAAATGAAATTTGATATGTAAGTAAAAGATCTAATTCTCTACCTTCTGTCAAATTTTGAGTAATTTCCGTTTACCGGAAGTACTTATTTACGCTATTTCTGATTTCTCAAAAACGCATGTAAATTTATAAAGTACTAATAATATTGCGTACTATTATGCACATCTTTATTTAGCGTTCACTTGGTGTGCATTTCTTTTTTCTACTAGATTATATTCTATTTTTAAAAGTTTGAGTATTTAAAATGGATTAAAAATCATGTCTAGAAGTCTATATCCCGAGTTGCCATCCCCCGTAGTGTTATATTAGAATATTCAAGAAAGTTTAGGGGAGATCACTCCCGGTTTATTTCCTGTGGCTTTTTTCCTGTGACTTTTTTCTGTGGTTTTTTTTCCTGTGTTTTTTTTTTCCTGTGACTTTTTTCCTACAATCAAGTCCGGTTGGTAACATAGTTTCAAGTGTAGTTACAGGTGGACATATTCTAAAAAAACTTAAATAGGCTTATGGATATGTTGGTATAGTTAAATTATATTAACCATGCATTTATTCACAATTATGTAAAAATCACTAGACAGACAATTTTAAAATATATTGGGAAATTTAGGAGGTCGGTTACGCTCATGGTTGCTGAATCGAAAAGACCCGAGTTCGAACCCCCGGGCAGATGAGGCTCGGTAGTTGGGGACAACCTCTCATCTAGGAGAGCCAACTACCTTGTAGTTTGTGATATCGATAATAATACTGGCAGATGTATTATATAAGAAATTTTATAAAGCATAACATGTTTTATACATGTTATATCCAAAAAGAAAAGCAGGCTGAAATCAGAGTCAACGACCTATTTGGCGCATATAGTTGACACGTAATCCTTAATTGTGCTGCAGGGAATATCTTTCAACACTAAAATTAAGAAGCTAAGAAGAAGTGAAACTTAGCTGTAATTATTTACTCAAATGTTTTTTTAAAGCTGAACTTACAACATAATAAGTGTAAGCCCTAGGTGCGGGGGGGGGGGGGGGGGGGGTGTGCTATTCTACTTCAAGGGATTATCCTCTATTGGGGTAAGTGCAATTCCAACTTGCGACTTCAAACAAGATTTTTAAAATATAGAAATTATTATACAATTATATTAAATTAAAAGAATAGAACCAAATGCAAATCTTTTCTACCAACACAACCAAATAACTACTCTAAATGTAAACACCTCCACGATAAACTAAATGAAACATAAATAAACTCAACAACAAGACATTATAAAAAAGCTAGGTAAGCACCAAATCAAGTTACTAAAAGTAACCTAAACCTAATCAATCTATGGCTAAAATAAAAGTAACCTAAACCTAATCAATCTATGGCTAAAATAAAAGTAACCTAAACCTACTCAATCTATGGCTAAAATAAAAGCAACCTAAACCTACTCAAAAAAGTAACCTAAACCTACTCAATCTATCGCTAAAAATAAAAGTAACCTAAACTTACAAAAACTATCATTAAAAATCACGAAAGAATAGAATACAAATGTACGATTCATTGTAAATAAATTAAATAAATTGCAAAATAAAATTATTAAAGTACGAGTTCCACATTTCATTGAAATATCAAATGACTGAAATGCTACAACTAGAATTCAACAAAAATAAATTATTATAGCACATCTGGTTATAACTGGCCTCGCTCACACAGGTTTAGAGAATATTTTCACTAACGTAGAACTCCACAGAAACAATTACAGTGCTACTTCCAGACTTTTTTTCTCCAGGGGAGGGGGCACTGTTAAAAGTAAATTTAAAAGGAATGTATGTGTGTGTGTTTTTTTATGCAATGCTACACCTTTCATCCAATCGCCCTGAAACTTTGGGCGGTTGTTGAGAATAATCCTGGGGAGGTTCCTGCGAAAAGATAAGCAGGGTGCAATTTGTCGCCCCAGGCTTTTTTCGGCGGTAATGTAAGTAAATCCGTGTCCCGATAAATATGATCCAAGCGCAGGCACTGTTTACATTTTAAAACTTAGTTTTAGAAAACAAGGTCACGCGTCTAAAAATATAGGATTGGTAAAGCATTGATGAAACCCTCCTAATATATTTCGTCAGATTTTATTTATCTTTGATGTATTGCTACACCTTTCATCTGATTGCCTTGAAACTTTGGGAAATTGTTAAGAATACTCTTGGGGAGGTTTATGCGGAAAAAAAGTTTCAATTTCGCACCGGCGGCGCCCTGGGAGGATGTAATTTGGCGCCCCGGGTTATCCCGTGAGCACTATGGCGCCTACGTTAGTTCTAAACAGTGCGATAGACTATGAATAAGATGGGGCATTTAGTCGTTCACTAAAGTGAATCAGGCGTGTTCGCCGGCGCCCAACAGGATGCGATTTGGCGCCTCGGGCTATCCCGGTTGCGCTAAGGCGCATACGTTCGTTTTAAAGAGTGTGATAGAATATGAATAAGAAGTAGTGTTATAGTCTTTCATAAACTGAATCAGGCCCGTCCGACGACGCCCCTGTAGGGTGCGATTTGCCCAGTGCTATCCTCGAACTTTCTTCTATCCCCGCGCCAACTCGCGGGGACAGAAACGCTAGTATATATTAGCAAGTTCATGGGTGCTCACTCTTGCTTTATTCATAATTGGCTTTATTTTATTATCTTAACAAACTAAGCTCACAATTTTGACTATTTCAAAAAAAAAAATACAAATAATTACGATGATTTTTAAAAATACAAGGTTCTAAAAAGATGATATAAAATATTTTTAACATCAATTCCCAGATTTAAACGCCTGGCCTTGGAGGGCAGCAAATATAGTCTTGATTGTGTGATCATTTATGATCGTGCATTAGATGCTAATTACCCGATTAAACAGTTTTGTGGCTCAAGTGATGTGACCGACTTGTTGATAAGATCTTCTGGAGACTCATTGAGGGTTGAATTCTACACAGATTTTTCAATCACTGCACCTGGTTTTATTGCTGTATTTTGGGAGCATGGTGCGTATTTTATTAATTCTTTTTGCCAAAAATGCAATTTTAAACATTTTATATAGTGTAAAACGAAAGATGATTTTATATCAATTCAATAAAATATTCCTTCAGTTAACTTAAAGGGATATGCGCGGTTTGTTATCTCTCTACTTTTACAATTTAATATCTAAAGCCTTTATACTACGTTTACCATGTTTGGCCCATGAAAGTAGGTATTAAACAGCAAAAAGTGTTTTGAAAACAGTTTTGATTGTCAGGGAAATCAGTAAAATGTCCGCCATTTCAAATGTTTTGGCATTTTTAAAATGCTAAAGCTTTTTTACGCACTTATAGCTAACAAATTTACACTGCTTATATTTCTCTATATATTAAAACGTTTGTCACGACAAGTTTTTGATAAAGCTACTGGTCAGAATTCTACAAGCTCCGCAAAAAATTGCACTCTTGCTCGTATGCGACAGTTTAAAAATTTCTGTTTTTTCACCATAATTATTTTTTTTTATAAAAACCATTACAATTCTGAGGTGACAAATGTTTTATTATTACATGAAGAACAAATATTGAATATATTGTGGGAATTTTATTTATAATTTTAAAAAGTAGAAGGCATTTTTAGTTAAAAAAAAACAACTGCAAAATGAGAAAAACAGCAAAAAATAACGAAAAGTAGGTCAAGAAAAAATACCGTTTTTGAGTAATTTGTCTAGCTAATTGTTTCCGAGATCACGGAAAATAAGATTATCGAATACATGAAACATTCAGCTTTCCAATGATGCCAAATACAATAAAATGATTGATATTGAACTTTTTGTAGATAACGTGAAAGATAGGGAAAATACGATTATTTTTTAATTAATGGGGGTCGTAAAAATTGTATTTTAAACACATTTTAAAAAGTCCTCATTAAAGTTATTATTTTCTTAATACTAACATGGACAAAGAATCCAAAAGTGCAATAAACCCAGTATGACGAAAAACCAAGCTGGGGATTTTTTCTGCGAATATTCGATTAAATTTGAGAAATGTAAATTTAATTTAATTTACAGAATGTGAAGCCTTGAAGTATGGAGCTGACCATTGCAATATGTCCTGCAGTTGTGACAAAGACAATACAGCCTTCTGTGATCATACTATTGGCACTTGTTTTTGTAAACAAGGCTGGAAGGGAGATGACTGTACAATAGACATCAATGAATGTGAGGAGTCCCCAACCAGCGTGTGCCCCTCTGAATACAGTGTGTGTAGAAATCTTCCTGGTTCATTTGAGTGCGTATGTGAAACTGGAATAACAGCAAAGGACACGGGGTTATGTGTTGGTAAGTTTTCAAAAATATGAACTAGTCTACCCTTAGGGAGATGCTATGATCTAGTCCGACACATCAGAATCACGCAACAGTTTAAAATTTTCGGTTCAGTTTTTTCATCGTGTTCATAATGTAGGATGCCCTTTAAATAAAGACGAATTTCTGCCAACGCCATTGATGCGATTATTTGTAGTTTACATCAGATATAAATTTAAGTCCCTAAGAACAAATTGTTTATTAAGCTTTAGCTTTTTATTTAGGAAGAAGTCTTTTGACTTATTAACTACAAATATTAAAATTGTCTTTGCAGAATGCAGCGATTTGACGTATGGAACAAATTGTACATTGAATTGTGACTGCGTATCAGATACTACAGCAAGCTGTGACAGCAGATACGGAATTTGTAATTGTTTGCCTGGATGGACATCACTACACTGCACTGAAGACATTGATGAATGTCTTTATATTGGATGTGGGGACTATAGTGACTGCACAAATACCCCAGGGAGCTACACGTGTTCTTGTTATTCTGGGTACTTCTTAAATGAATATGAAACATGCACAAGTGAAGGTAGGTACATTTTGTTATCATTTTAAGATTTATTTTTATAGTGATTAATTAAGTAAATTGAAGTTAAAGTTTTCTTTTCCAGGTTGTCCAGCTTTCAAATTTGGAGAAAGCTGTTCCAACTCTTGTAACTGTACACAGAACAACACCAGAAGTTGTGATGTCAACAATGGAACCTGCACGTGCAAGCCTGGCTGGACATCAAATGACTGCTCTATAGACATAAATGAATGTCAACTTGACCCACTGATATGTCCTGATTACACATCCTGTAAAAATCTAAATGGTAGCTACCAGTGCATTTGTTATGATGGTCTGATGCTCGGATCTAATAGGAATTGTCAAGGTAATATATTTTTAAAAATTAGCTTCTTATTAGGCCTACCTCATATATGCAAAAACATTAATAGCACTTAACACTGTTGTTATTATAACAATCATTATAACTATTTTCAACATCGATTTGTATGTCAACTTTTGCCTCTTTTGTTTGCCTCTATTTACTCTAGTTCTAGTCATGTCAAAAACTTTTACTAGATTGTTTTCGATAATTTCTTTATCCATAATATTTACAGAGACCTAAATACCTAGGATGCTTTAGTAATTATCACTATAGACCAGTAAAATAGTCTGCGACAAAGGTGTAATGAGGAGTAAAGTGTTTAGTTGAAAATTGGACAATAAAACATTTGTAAAAAGATTTATAATATGATAATAATCATGGCTTTTTAAAGAAATACATTGTGTCAATTTCAACATTTATAAATATTTAAGATAAAACTCACCCATTATTCAGTACATCTAAGATGTTTCTACAAAACATGTAGGTTGTCATAATTGTAATGCTCTTATCTTTACAGCAATCCGTCCGTGTATTGAGAGAGTCTGTTCCCATCTGTGTACAAGAGTAACCCTTGGTAATCAAACAGAAGTTGAGAAGTGCTATTGTCCCAATGGAGCAATATTAATGGGAGACATTTGCCAATGTAAGAGATATTTTATATATATTTATTAGCCTACATCTGGAAGTTCAGTATGAAAAAGTTAAGGCTTATCAGATCAAAACTGTAAAACAATCTTTACAATTTCCCTGCAACTTACCTGCAAGTACCCGATGTAATAGGTGCGAGGAACAAACAAAAAAAAACACACTTAAAAGACATGTTTCAGAGCTGTGTCTCATTAACTTTTTTCCTAGTGTGTCCCAACATGACATATGGCCCCCAATGCCAGTACCAATGCAGTTGTGTAGCCAACAACACCGCCACTTGCTATACTGGATCCTGCGAATGTTTACCTGGTTGGGAATCTGATGACTGTTCTATGGATATCAATGAATGCAGTCAAGAGCGCTGTGGTGCCAATTCCATTTGTACTAACACTATTGGAAGCTACATGTGTCAGTGTCTCTCAGGATATGCAATGAGTCCCAGTGGATACTGTATTACAGAAGGTTTGTAATTGTCTAAATCTCCATTCGTGTTTTGTGTGCTAGGATTTATCAATTTGTTAAACAGTACTTTGCAGTCAATCAAAAAAACAAATTTACTAATTGCATTTATGTTATTGTTATCATTAGTTTTTCTGTAGACTGAGACTTGTCATGTTTAGGTTAATTAATCCTGCTGACTTAGTTGTTCAGTAACGCCTAGCTTTAATTTTCTATCACAAATTACAATGACAACTAATTTGAACCTTTTAGTTTGTAGCAAGATTTTAAAAAACACTACAGGAGTAATTAGGTTTCAAATGTATGACAGTATATATTGTTAAAATGTTCTATAATATGCTATTATATGAACAGATTTGGTCTGTCTGACTAGTTCAGTACACTCAAATACTAAAGTCATTATGTATTTTGCAAGAACAAAAATGTCAATAATCTTTATTTTTTATTATGTGAAGTATCTTTTTTCTTTTCTGAACGGATGAAAAAAGAAAAACAGTGCTGTGTATAACTGCTATATGTGTAGTAATACATTGTCACCATAAAAATTTGGTAAAATCTGCCGCTTTTTGTTATGCGGGTACTGCAGCTATTTTCCAATTGTATTTCATATGAGTGCCTTTAAAAATTTCAATTTTTTTTTATCCAAACATAGCCAAACATTATATTAATGCTTGGCACAAATTTTAACTGCATCTTAAGGGCAAAACATAAATGCTGACTTTAAGACTGATTAAAATAACTTTTAATATATTTTTTTAGTGGGCAGACACAATAATAGAATTTTGATTTATAAAATACCTAATATTTTTCAGTTTAAATAATTAAAGTTAAATATTGGATACATTTAAAAAAAACCAACTATTTTTTTGTCTCTGACAATTATACTTTAATAATGAAATTAAAATTTACTATTAATAATTTTTTTCTTCGTATTTGTCAAATAATAAATTCTAATTGAACCTTTTAGGCAGTAGTGAGACACTAACAAACATTACAGGAGCAATTAGTAGTCCATCATTTTATGATGGCAGACTTAGATATGCATGGACAATCATTGCCTCTTCAGGGAGCATCATTTCATTTCGGTAATATGGTTGGTTTTTAAATTTTAGCTTTATAACATGCTAGTTTGAGAGTTGTTAAAGATGTAAGTAACAAGTGCTACAAGATAGTATGTTTGTTTTTATAAATAATTATTGGTTTATTAATTTTTTAAATAATTTTCAGTCTTGTCAACTTGGCCACACAAGCTGATCCCAAATGTACCTATGAATCATTATCAGCATACGATGGTAACACTCTTTTTGGGACCTATTGTGGACAAAAAATACCTGGTCTAATTAGGTCCACAGTAAATAAATTGCAGCTTGAATTTCAAACACTTCACGGTATTTCACAAAGTGGCTTCTATGGAACATACACAATACATGGTGAGTTTCATTGAAATAATTATTTTGCATACCCTAATATTTTTAACATTTCTAATACTATAATAACCATTTTTTATTATAATTTTTATGGCATAAGGAACTATAATTTAAAAATGCAACAATTTTACTAGATTTGCCTCTTGCATTATGTAGATTTACATGGATTAAAGCTAGAAATAACTACCAAATCATGAAATCGATAGGCGTTTTCTCTACGATAAAAATCGGGAGGCAAAATATTAAAATTCTAGATGAGCGCTCAATTTAGAGATTTATAGTCGATATAGATCTAGTTTCATAATGTAGATCTAGATATAATTATTATAATAGTAAGAATGAGATGTAGTTGTCAAGTGCTTGCTTTGAAACAGAAATAAGAGGTGAATAGTTCCTGTTTTATGTTTATAAAAGCATTTTTGTCAGCTAATTCTATTTACTGAATGGATAGAGACATCATATCTAAAGCTGTAGCAGTAGTTGCAGTTAAAAGAAAACAAATCACACTACAAATTTTCTCACTGCTTCTCAAATTAAAATGTTAAATTACTACTTTAAAAAAAAAAATTAAGAGATTTGTTTTAAGCAACTATATAGTACTGCGTTATTATCATACTTCAAAATTTTTTTTATTTAACTCAGCTATGTAACACATTTGTATTACATATTAACATATAATTATTATCCAAACCGGTGAAATAGCCTTTTTTTCTGAGAAATTATGTTTCACTATTTACCAGCCTGCCCTAAATTTACATACGGGGAAACTTGCTCCATCAACTGTTCATGCAATAAGAGCAACACAGTTTTCTGTGATAACACTAATGGAGTTTGTGTTTGTAAGCCTGGCTTTATGGGATACGATTGCTCAGATGATATTGATGAATGTGAGACTGCTGCAGAGACAAATATCTGCCCAGAAAATACTGATTGTATCAATGAGCCAGGTGGATATCAATGTGAAGGTACCAGATGTTAAAATGTCACTAAGTAAAATACCCCGCTGCTCCACCATGTTATACATGCTTCATTATGTTACGGTTATGTTGCAGTGCAGTGAGAGGGTTTGATTTGTTTGACTCAGCCAGCTACCATTTCACTCGTCTCCAATACCAGGGAGAGAGTATTACACCTTGAGAACCCCTAGGTTATATCACATTCAAACGAATCCACGACGCTCAGAGATAAGATGAACCAAATAATCCGTATATGAATCTTTTAATCTCGTATCTACAACAACACACGTCCTTCCACACCGACGATAAGGATTCAACTGCTCACACATAAACTCATAGCAACCAACTCTCTAACCTAAAACGTCACTATCTTTCGTACCGCGTCATCATACCCATGTGTTCACTATGTTCTCCGCACCAACCAGCACTCAATTCAATACCTACTAAAACATACATCATAACAACATGTGTAAGCCTTAAATGTCACTAAGTAAAATACAACCAGTGTTTCTTCCAGACTTTTTTCTCCGGGGGGGGGGGGGGGGCACTTGACATTTTCGGGGGGGGGGGAGCGGTCAACATTTTTTTGGGGGGAGGACACTAGTAAAAGTGTATGTTTACTATAAAAATTCCATCTCGTTCGGGGGGGGGGGGGGACGGACGGGGGGAGGACGGGGGGAGCAGCCCCCCCCCGAACAGATGCCTAGAGGAAACTCTGAATGCAACATATTTATATGTGTAAGCCTTAAATGTCATTAAGTAAAATACAACACATTTATATGTGTACGTCCTAACAAGGGGGTTACCTAATTAACTATAACGAACTGACCAATCGAGTGACAGAGTACTAACAGGCCCTCGCTCACACATATAACTGAAGTCTATCCCTCCAGAACGGCACACTAGCAGTTGACTCACACGTCAACAATAAACACTAAAATTGTCAAGATGGGTCCAGTGAAGGTATCCAAAGAAAGCGTTGTCAACAATAATGTCATAGACTAATTTAAACATACACTAAATTTAAAGTAGGTATGTCAGGCGGTCGAAAAAAATTTGTATTTCGTCCGCATCACCAAAATGTAGCAAATTTTCACTTTATTTTTTCTCTAATAGAAGGGCTCACATAGTAGTAAGTCTTGTGCTATTAAAAAGCAACTACTCTTAAACTCTCACATTCTGGTTAATTTTTATGGTTGTTGATATTGTTGTTACTGTTGTAACAATGTGCATATATATTAATGATCGGTGCACAAGAGCAGCAGTGTTTCTTCCAGACTTTTTTCTCCAGGGGTGCACTTGAAATGTTCGGGGGGGGGGGGGGGCAGACAACAATCTCCGGGGGCGGACACTGTCAGATATATATATTTTCTATATAAATTCCATTTCGTTCGGGGTGATAGACTTTCTTCGGGGGGGGGGGGGGGGGGCATGCCTGGAATAAACTCTGGAGAGCAGGTGTATTTGCATTTTGCAGGCGCTATAATCTGGGCTACAATTCCACAGAACAAAGTTCTGGGAAATTAGGGAAAGTAAAAGTGGCTGGGCATAGTACTGGCCACACTATCCCTTCAAATGCAGAGGTCACAGAAACAGGTGAACTCTACTTCACTTGCCTCATGACACGTCAGTTTCGAAGGCATACTTTAATTTTACAGCATTATCTATGCATAGTGACAAGTACATTAGAGTAATCCTTTCTCTACCAAATGTTCCTCTTTCATCTTATGTCAATAAAATTAGAAATTTGTAATGCGAATAAAATAATTACAAGAGATGATTAATTTTACTAACAAAGTACAATGATGTACTTCAGAACTTTTAACTATACCAGTCATCACAACCTTTGGGTACAACACAACTGGTATAAATCTCTCAGACACAAACAGCCAGGAGTACAAACAACTAAAACGTGATGTTCAGGATGCTGTGAGTTTTAGTTTTGTTTCTTGATTTTCTGTAAGATTAGGATTTTTCATTCTTTTTTTTTTTGCCCTATGTTTCAGGAAAGTTTAAGTTTTCTTTGCATTTATGATTTTAATTTTATAACTACCTGTTGTCTATCACTCAAAATAAACAGGATGCCTCTTCAAGTTAACTTCAGTAATTAATTATTCATACAACACAGCTGAGACAACATGTCTTTCCTCCAGCTGCATTCTTAGACAACTCACGGATAACACATTAAATAGAACTCTTACACTGAGCACAGAGGATACATATTCAAAGGGACATTACTATTATATATTTAATATAATGGACATAACAATAACTAACAAGACATAACCTTACAGTTATTTATCCTCAGCTGATAAAAGAAATGAAAAGAAAAGTAAATACCGTTGTTACTGTGAAAGTTAAATCACTAAGGTGAGATATTATATTATATTGTATCTTTCCTTAGTCTTTTATAATGAAAAGCATTTTTAATCACTTATATACTTTAATTGTATGTGTTAAACAATTCCATACTTTTCATTGTGCTTGACAACTGGATTTAATATTTATTATTATTATTTAATAAACATTTAGCAGCTGTAAAAGTTAAATAAACATAACTCTTTGCTTTAAAAATTAAAAAAAAAAACTTTTTAAAGATTTATAGCTCTTTTGTTTATGTCTGCAGAGTGATTTTTTTTTTTTAAATTTTCTTTATGTTATTCTTCTTGTTAATCTCTCAATGATTATCTTATACTTCCCTTATATAAATATCAAAGATCTGGAAGTCTTATTGTGGAATACAATGTTGAGCTTTTGAAGAAAGACGAAAACAAACAAAAAGCTGAACTTGCCACAGAACTACTGATGATGATGATTTCAGGGAACACAACCATGATTGGACAACAACAAGTCAGCTGGTTATCTTCCACAGTGGACCAGTTCAAGTGTAAGTTATGTACAACATAGTAAACTAATGCACATAGATAACTTATAGAAATTAATTACTCTTGAGAAACAAATCAATTTTTAAACAATTTGTAAATACGTAACAATAAAATTTTAATAATAAATGTTGGTACCAATTTTTTTTTGTTTTTACTTGGATGGATTTATAATGCTTATTTAAATGATTTATACTCAATGAAAACAACATTTGAAATGAAAAGTTTAGAAAAAATTTTCTATCTACAGTGTCTAATTCTGCTGATGCTGCATGTCAAATTGCTGAATTTTATAGTGTCTGCAAATCAAATGAGTATTGTCAAGTCATAGATTCAGCTGCTAAATGCAAGTAAGAAATTAAAAGTTGTGGTCTACCTGGTCAAAAAAAAAAAAATCTTGATAAACTAAATACCCAATCGCACTCACTTATTGATGTTTACTCATGTTATTGATCCAGATGGGAGGGGGGGTGGGGGTGAGGGGGTGGGGTTATAACCCTCCTCTTAGACCACCAAAATGCTAACTGTTTTACGTTAACTTACAGCTATTGGCAAGGTCAAACTTGTTTCGCTATCATTTAGTGCTTAAATACTTAACACTTAGGCTATGTCGCAGCCTCTAGAACAACATTGTGTACTTTGGTGAAGAGAATTGGTGCTTTTGAGTATCTTAATAAAGAAAAGTAAAGCTGAAAATGAGAAAGATGGTACTATTGATTCTCAAAGTACATTAGACCAAGAAATTTCCTTAGCATCTTCAACTGTTTGTTATGAAATGATTCTACTTTCCTAAAATCGTAAATCATTGACAGAGAAAAAAATTGAACATATCAACATCACTTTTGAAATCATCCTCAAGTCAACAAATTCTAGAAAATTGTTTAAGATTAGCTCCCATAATAGAAACTATAATTCTTTTTGCGTCCGACAATGGTCTTGCACTTAAGAGCCACATGAAATTCATTTGTAGCAGAGATAATTTAAATGTACTTTTATTTTTTTATTGTGTTGTGTACTTATTTTGTGCTTTCTTAATTTGTTATATATCATTAATAAAGGCTGTAAGTTTGTTGTATGTTATAAAACAATGTATTAAAATATTGGGTTTCCTGGGTAGCTGCAGTTGTTCACAAGTTTCTATTGTCACCAGTGGCCATATATACACACACATATATAAACAAATATACACACACACACATATATGTATGTTCAAGTTATGACTATCTTATATACATATATATATATATATATATATATATATATATATATATATATATATATATATATATATATATATATATATGTATATATATATATATAGTCAAAACTTGACCCCCCCCTCCCCCCCCACGAGATGATCCTGGCTACGCCACTGTATTGATATATTGTTTTGTTTTTTATACTCTAGGTCTAATGATGAATGTAAGCATACATTTTCAGCATAATTTTATTAGTTTATTTGTAATTCATTGTTAATTAGTAGGATAAATGAGTTTAACATGAGATATATCCAGATTTCATAATATAAAATGTTAGAAAAATAACTTAAAATAATTATTAGCTGCTAGAACACAAATGTGAATGTAATGCATCTTATCTTTTGTTTTAGATCCTCTGCGACTTATCTTGGGTATCTGTCTTGGTATCCCACTGTTTATTATTGTCTGTACTGCCATTGTGATCACCATCTGCTGCATGTATAGAGAATCCAACAATGTGACAACAATCACAGAGAGAGGATCATTAAAGTCTCCCAGCAGACCTGCACAGCACACGTAAGCAAATGTTGTATGTTGTAACTTAGATAAGGCATTTAATGCTGTCACAACAACACAATTTATATTTTCTTTAAGAGTCATGTGTTAAGTAGATGGTTTAATGTTCAGGTTGCTCCATGTGTTAAAGCTGGCTGGATACAGAAATGTCCTTTTGACTTGATGTTTAGGGCTGGATGGATACAGAAATGTCCTTTTGACTTGATGTTTAGGGCTGGCTGGATACAGAAATGTCCTTTTGACTTGATGTTTAGGGCTGGATGGATACAGAAACGTCATACAGATTGCATAATTTGTTAGCACTCCCTTTTATATTAGTATGTTAAGAGGGGTCTGCAGGGTGGAGTCAGTAAAGCTCATGGTTGCTAAACCAAAAAGTCTCGAGCTCGAACCCTCGGGCAGATTAGGTTTGTTAGCTGGGGACAGCCACTCTTTTAGGAGAGACAACTCCAAAATTAAACAACTGTGGCCTTGTAGTTTGTTCTTGGTTGGACAAAGGCTATGGAAGCAAATCCAAAAAGAAAAACAGGCTGAAATTAGAGTCAATGGCCTCAATGGCGCATATCCAGTTGACAGGTATACTTCATTGTGTTGGAGGGCATCGCTTCCAACACTAAAATTAAGCAAAGAAGAAGAAATTTCTCGTTATTTTGTTATTAAATTATATTCTTATCATGAACAGCATGCATCAACCACCGGCAGGTCTAGATAATCCATATCATTATTACACGGGGGGAAAGGATGCAGTGAAGTTCAAGTCACCGGCAGGTCTAGATAATCCATATCATTATTACACGGGGGGAAAGGATGCTGTGAAGTTCAAGTCACCGGCAGGTCTAGATAATCCATACCATTATTACACAGGGGGAAAGGATGCTGTGAAGTTTAAGTCACCTTGGTATAGAGGTACGCAGACTTATTTTTTATTTATTGTCATCAATAAAACTTGTGATGGGTTGGTGGTTTAAATTATGAGTAATTTTCATTCTATTTGCAAATTTAAATCAACAAAATATTGTAAGAAATCAACTTGTTCTCGATCAAATGTCTGTCTTAGGTCATATGTGACATTAAAAGGTTTAAGTAAACAAGAAGATAATTACACATGGGAATTGATTACACCAAACTTAAGATAATTACACATGGGAATTGATTACACAAAACTTAAGATAATTACACATGGGAATTGATTACACCCAACTTAAGATAATTACACATGGGAATTGATTACACAAAACTTTTCAGAGCGTTATGTACCTGACAACAACAGAATATATGGCAGCAGAAACTTACAAGGCCAATATGGAAATCCATATAACTAACTGTTTTCTCATGCGGAAAGCCATATAACTAATTGTTTTCTCATAGGGAATGCCATTAACTGTCTCTTCATAAAATTGTGTCATTTAAGTGGGGCATTTTTTTAAAATGTTGGTTTACAAGAGTAATAATATATGAATATGCCTTCATTTAAAACAATATACTTTTTACAAAAAGTTTATTAAACACAGTTTTTATTATAAACATTTTCTTAACATATACAAATTGTCACTTTTTATCATATTAAAATAATTATATTTTATGAAAACAATAGAGGTTTATTGTAAATATTTATTTATAGCATACACATCAGCTTTAAATAAGGGTAGATTAAATATGAGTTTTTCACTGCTGTTTTTATGTAATAAGGTTATAATTTTAAATAATTTTATATAATTTTTCATCTTTTGATATTACATATACAAGATAATTAATCCAAAGAATTTTTTTTTAATTTTTAATATATTTGCTCACTAGCAAATTTAAGCTTAACTATGGAAACATTTTTTGTGATAAAATAATTAAATAATTTACCTGTAATTCCATTTCAGTTTTAACAATTTGTTAATCCATTAGGTTTTATGTTTCTTGTATTGTAAATAATGTTTTAATATATTCAACATGGAAATAAATTTACTTTTATGGGAGATAAAAAGTTTAATTCATTTTATAAGTCCCTACTGTGTTTTAAAATGTATAAATATTTTTACTGATTGTTGTTAGAAATTTTAAAAACTATCTTTAAGCTTCTAAAACATCATTATGTCATTAGCTGTGATTACAAAATGTATGGCCACTGCCACTGCACTACCACAAAATGCATTTCTAATCTACTGCTAATTAATGTTAATTATTATCATCTTGCCAAAATTATAAATTTATCTTACACCTTTAATCAGGCTCCTCACACCCATGACCTGCTGTTCTGCCATTGATGGAGGACACTATACACATACAGTTAACTTTAGAAATTCAGATACAAAAACAGTGTTTTTGATATTTCAAGCTTTTGTATCAACACATTTTTTATATAATCTTTTCACAGCCAAGGTAACTGGATAGAAATATGCCATACAAATTTTTTAGTATAATATTTTTGACTGTTTAATCTAGAATCTGGTAAGAAAAAATTCAGCTTTATATAAAACAAACTTTGCTGCAAACAAAAGTTTTATATAAAACAACAAACTTTACTGCAAACAAAAGTTAATAGTATGAAGGTGTAGACTGCTTGTTTCATTTTGTTTTAATTAATTATAATTATTGTGTTATTTTCATACAAAATTACTAGATTATTTAACCATATTCCACCTAAAATAATGTGACATGTTGAGGAATGCTTTCATTTGTAATTGTTCAACTAATTCAAAAGCAGCCACAGACCCCCCCCCCCCCCCCCCACCTCAAAAAGAAAATAAAAAGAGTATATAAGTTAAAAGTGTCTCCCCCCTTGAGAAAATGTCAGAAAGTAGCATTGGAGATAGAGAGCAACAACATGAGTTAGTGAGGTAACAGTCAAAACTTTGATCAAAGAAATGCATCATTTGACAAAATAAAATACATAGAGATTCACTTATTCACTTTTATATCAACATACAACATCTTCAACAAGCTAAAAACAACCAACTCAACAGATGATTGGCAGTTTTCAGTTCAGTACGGGAACCTGTTTACCAATATCTAGAAATGTAGCAACTTCATAAACTCGTAGTAACCACTAGAGCACATGTAATACGCAAAAATAAATTCAGTCCACATAAAAAATGTAAAATAAATTATGTGGCACTAGTAGTTAAATTATTGTGCTGCAACATATAGAATGATTTGTTATAGAATGTATTAGAATGTTTCATATTTGTTAATTTATGGGAATGTTGCATATTGGAAATATAGCAAGGAACTGCTCACAATTTCCCTTTATTTTTACGTTTAAATACCAAGCAAAAGTGTATTAATGTTGGAATTTCTGTTGGAAGTGTGTTATGTATCCATTTTTGTTTGAAGTTCTAGTCAGTCAAAAACAACAAATATGCACAGGTAAAAATGGTAGCTTAGTGAATGAAAAAAGTAACATACAAAAGTTAGACATCCAATCAAAGAAAATCTAGCCAAGCTAACTATTACACCTGTAACTTAGCATTACAAAAAGTCATTGAATCAAAGTAGGCTACTAATCAGTAGACCTATATGGCACGGATTACAAATTGAACAATTCTCACCAATAATACTAGGTAAAACTCCAACATTTAAGTGGGCTGCGTTAATTCTGACAGCCGTATTTACAGGTATGTATACAATAAATAGAGTTCTGTATGTAATCCTATGTGTTCTGATTATCCAAATGTAAATATCACTCTCTTGTTTTACACACATAGGCATACAATTTAGATTGTCCAGTTCATTAGGCATCAATCAATTGTCCAGTTAATCTGCCATGAAGCAGATTAGGCTTAGTTAATCTCATGATTGTAATAGTCCATTTAATCTGCCATTAGGCAGATATCGCATCAATCAGTCCATTTAATCTGGCATCCGGCAGATATGACATCAGGCAAATATGACATCAGGTAGATATGACATCAGGTAGATATCGCATCAATCAGTTTGTCCATTTAATCTGGCATCAGGCAGATATGCCACCAGGTAGATATGCCAGCAGGCAGATGTCATCAGGCAGATATGCCATCAGGCAGATATGCCATTAGGCAGATATGGCATCAATCAGTTTGTCTATTTAATCTGGCATCAGGCAAATATGCCATCATGCAGAAATGGCATCAATCAGTTTCTGTTTGAGCCAGCCTAGCCTGAAAGCCTGGTTGTAACGTATGATTGACATGCCCTTTAAGACACTGGGCAGCTCACCAATATCTTTGTCTATCTGGACAGGTATGATGTTTCTTGACCTGGAATCTGATGGTCAAACAAAAACATTAGGGTAAACATCTCATTGGGATATGTACTAACTATGGGATAGTTTTTTGTTCACATAGAAATTACTTTTTATTCAACTAAATTGTGTTAATTTTAATAAATAGTTGATAAAGTTCAAGGATACACTTGTAAAAGCCCCCCCCCCCCACCCGTCACTTCCCCTACCCTTCAAACCTTTGTATAAAACTGACCTGGATCTAGGACCCTGGCGAAGTAGGTCAGAAACAGACACTCCTCTGAAGATACATAGTTAGCTGATAAAACCACGATTATCTTTCCATTGCAACTGTGGAATAGATGAACATATGATCACTTCCTTTGCTGGTGTTAAAATTATACAATCTAAGGGAATTTAATTAATTAACTGTCCATTGTTACTGGCATGTAATTTCGGAAGATAAATTGAAAGCTTAAGTTTGTATAAACTAATTTAAATTGTAAACAGTGTGCTTAGATAGGAGAAAGTGGTGGTTCCAGCTTGTGGTACACAAGGCGTGACAGTGTGACACATAATGTGGCAGTGTGGCACATGATGTGACTGCTAGGTGATGCATGGCATGACAGTGTGACACATAATGTGGCAGTGTGACACATGATAAGACTGCTATGTGATGTGTGGCATGACAGTGTGACACATGGTGTGCCTAATGTGTAACACATGATGTGACTGTGACACATAACGTGACACGTGATGTGACTGAAACATAACATGACTGTGACACATAACGTGACACATAACGTGACAGTGACACATGACGTGACATGTGACGTGACTGACACATGACGTGACCATGACACATAACGTGACCATGACACATGACGTGACACATGGCGTGACATGTGACGTGACTTACACATAACGTGACTGTGAGACATGACATGACCGTGACACATGACGTGACTGTGACACATGACGTGACTGTGACACATGACGTAACTGTGACACAGAACGTGACACATGACGTGACTGTGACACATGACATGACTGTGAGACAGCGTGATTAGTGTGAGACATATGACGTTTCTATGGACTATGGCGTGGCTACTCTGTCCGTTGTCTGGCTGTAGACTGACCAGTCAACTGACCCACCAGATGACGTCAGCACTCACCGTTCCTCCAGCGCCCTGGCCAGGTTCTCGTACAACGGTCCGGTCAGGACGAGGTCACGTGGTGGCAGAAAGATCCGGAAGCCCATCTTCTCCAGCATGACGTGGAAGGGCAGACCGAACGTCTCAAGGTCTTTCTGTGCACAGCATAGAAACGCTGTGTAATACTGTTTGTAGTTGTTGGGTCCATCTGTGAGAAACATATCACAGCAGTCAAACAACTGACCATATATACATAGGGGCATACATACATTTAGGCATGTACATGACATAAATACATAAACTTTTTCTTTCGGACTTTTTTTCTCCGAAAAGTAAAGAGGGGATACTGGTAAAAGTATATATTTTCTATATAAATAACATTTCGTTTGGGGATGAGGGAAAGGCCGGTAGACAGGTTTGGAGAAGAGGGGTGGGGGTGCGGCTTGCTTCCACCCACGAAACAAAGCCTGAAAGAAACACTGTACAGTAATGACTTACCGAAAACTGACAATATATCCATTGTTTGTCCTCTTGTCGGTTCCTTCGCACATATAATTTCATCTGTGATTGACTTACTTTCTTTTCGAATCACCTGAAAATATCATAAGATAGACGTTGAGAAATGAACTCATAGAAGATAAACGGCAAGAAATTAATTCATATAAGATATGCGGTAAAAAAAAAAATTTTTTTCGATCGGTTTAGTCACGTTAAAGCAGAGTCTTGAGGGTATGCATTGATTAGCAGCTATTCGGCGGATATACAACATCTAGTTAGCAAACGCTATAAAGATCTAAAAACCCGTGTTGAAGACCCGTGTGTAAAGACCCGTGCTATGAAGATACGTGTTTGATGACCTTTGTATGAAGACCAGTAATATGAAGACCCATACTGTGAAGACCAATGTTGTTATGACCCGTGATGTGTCATAAGTCCGTATGCATTAGTGCTGATAGGTCTATATGGATGATGTAGTGCTCTTATAAATAAAACAAACTTCCGTGGAAGTTTTTCCTGGAAAATTAACGTATTTAAAGCTCCCGATACTCAACATAGCCGTCACTATACCTAACCGTACCTTCCCAAATATGTTATTATTATTTCCAAGCAAATATGTAGAGCACACAATAGTTTATAGCAAGAAACCGCTAAATTTTGGCCGTTGGTTGCTGCGGGGTGATAGGCGGGATTTATTCATCAAATTCATGTCGTTACGCTGAATAATTTACCAGGGCCAGTTGTGTGAACGTAGAACACGATTAGATGGAAATAATTAGATAAAAAACTGGTTAGTGCGAGTTGGGTTAGGCATCCTATTGCCTTCACTTGAAAGTTAAAAACGAAGCCAAACTTTAACAAAAACGTAAGTCTTAGCACACTCTGAACCCAATTACTAACAATAAACATAGCACATGACCTAACCCAAGCTAAAATCTAAACCTACCATCGCTACAGCAACCATTATGTTCTAGTACTATACCAAAACCCGAACCTTTTATCACTCCTTAAGCCTTTCTCTAATCCTAACGTAGCTCAACAAAACCATACTGTTTATTTTTCTGTTTACAAATATATCTACTTCTCTTTCAAATGTAAACTTTTCATTAAGTCAACATGATACATAAGAGGCAGATACTGGTGTATCTAGACGTTGTTTCAAATATTTGGGAAGAAAAATTATAGGAAATTGTAGGTCTATCAAAAGTTTCACACATAATTTTTTTTTAAATAAAAATATTCTGCTTTTAATTTGTTTTCTTTTCGTATATTTGTACAGCTAGGGTGTTCTTATGAGTGGCATGTAAGCTTCTCCGCCCCCCCCCCCCGTTCCTCATCATACTTTTTTAGAATCCCCCCCTCCCCCAAATAAATGAACACATACATTCTATCTTATGCCAGAAGATTGTATTACCGCCCTTGAATTTCTTCCTTGATATAAATCAGGGCCTATTGTGCGACTCAGCAACGTAAAGGTTCGAGCACATTTTACACGACACGGAGGTAAATTTAACTAGCACGTCTCCGTCACGTATGAAAGGCTAGATATTTCTAGAACTTTCTAGATATTTCTAGAACTTTCACAACTTGGAATTCACAAGTGTCTTCCTGACCGACTTGAATTACCCCCCCCCCCCCCCCTCCCACACCACTTTAGGCGACTAGTCTAGATAGACCCGGTAATATAAAAAAATCTACAGATAACATACAGATAACAGTGAATTTTTATACTATGGTTGGACTGGTTGTTAAACACTAGTTAACAAGCTCGATGTGTTAGCAGTCTTTTGTTGTGTTCCTTGTGTTAACCTTTGCATTACTTCCCCTGGGTAACTATGTGTCTTGTTTGAAGGACAATATGTTATTTGTCACATTCACATGAAAATGATTCTGTAGCTATTTTTCAAAGTTTAAAAAAAAATGAATTTGATCCCGCATTCGTTCAAGGTTAAACCTCATTGGCTAACTGTCCTTCGTTACTACACAACACCCCTCCTCCATAACCACACTAATCTACACCCCTACCCCTTCCCCCCTCGCTTATACATTATACTACACCCCTACCCCCAACCATGTGAGTACACTAAATACACCCTGACCCCCCCCCCCCCTCTGTTAAAAGACCCAATGTGACCCTAACGTGATAAACTAGACCCCCCCCCCCCCTCTAAAGTAACCTACACTGAATATAAAGGCTGGGCAGAATGTCAACAGAATACAACCACCCACCCACCCCCTCAAACACACACACACACACAATTCACACGAACACTTGTAACCAATTAGGATATTAAAATGTAAAGTACATTTACAGGGAATGGGGGAAAACTAATGTTGAGTTTAAAAATTCCAACATTTGAAGGATTCAGACTAGATTTAATAACGGGAATGTACCAGCACTTGACTGTTTGTTGTGTGACCTCTGACCTACTTAGGCTAGTCTTCCTTGTGTCAGGGGGTGACACTCATGCTGTTATACTCTCCTAATCTGGGAGTTAGTGTGTGGTTATACTCTCCTAATCTGGGAGTTAGTGTGTCCACACAGTATACCATAATACATGAGGCTGCGGGTTAATTGAAAAGTTTGGCTCAGAAAAACCCGCGAAACGGGCAATGCGATAAGGCAACTTAAAGGAGTTTCTACCTAACCTCATGTGTTGACTTTAGATAACATTCTAAAAATAGCCTGGAAAACTGAGTACTTGTTCCTTCTCGAGTTATCGGAATTGCTTCATTTCAATGAAATGCGTGTTTTCCCATAGTTGTCTCTGTTCCCGAGTTCAACAGGGGAGGGTAACTGGTGTAATCTTCCTGACTGACTAGTGGCATTCATCTAACTAAAGAATGCTACATGTTCCAGCGACTCTTGGACAGTGTTTCTTCGAGGCATCTCTTCGGAGGGCCCCGAAGAGAGTCTACCCCCCCCCCCCCCCCCACGGAGAAAAAAATCTGGAAGAAACACTGCTCTTGGATGCTATTAAACGGTTTAGACCTAGTGAATGGGGCTTTAAACTCTACGACAAATCAACCACAAAACAGAACCCAGTGATGATTTCTTAAAAAAAAAACAACAACTTTGAGTTTGAAAGCGAATAAAGGGTCGCCCATAAATAACGTCACACTCGTAGGGGGGGGGGGGGAGGTCCGTAATTTTTTGACGGTGTGTGATGAGGGGAGGGGGGGGGGGTTCAGATGGTGCGACGTCACACTTATGCATTATAAAAAAAGCAATGTTAGAAAACGTATTTTAGACGTTATTTCGCGCTTTAGATAACTTTTTTAATAAATTGCAAAAGGAATTGATTAAAATACTCTATTTTGACAGAGTTCGGACAAGATTTTGGAAAAATATCAATGTTTTAAGAAAAATTCAACTGCAATTTTGAGGCGGGGGGGGGGAGGGGTGGTTGTAGGCTGAGGCGTGACGTCATTATAGGGGAGTCTGGCTTTTTGTGACGATGTGTGACGGAGGGGGGGGGGGAGGTAAAAATCGTCAAAAAAGCGTGACGTCATTTATGGATGACCCCCTAATACAACGTGTCTTATGAAAAACATTCGGTACACTGCGATCTATGCAAAGCATAAACAACTTGATGGTTTCTTTAATACAACATATCTTATGCAAAAAATCTATGCACAGCATAAACACTTTTATCCCTTTGACAAATAGCGAGAAGCAGATTTCGCAATGTCACCCATTCAATTATGCAATGTGCGTTGAACAAACTTTATTCAGTGTTTCTTCTAGACTATTTTCTCCCGGGGGGGGGGGGGGGCACTTACGTTTTCAGGGGTGCGGTAGACTTTCTTCGGGTCGGGGGGGGGGGGGGTCGGACACTGTTAAAAGTATATATATTCTATATAAATTTTATTTCGTTCGGGGGGGGGGGGGGGGCGGTAGACTTTCTTCGAGGGGGGGGGCTCCGCCTTCCCCCCCCCCCCCCACCTGAAGAGATGCCTGGAAGAAACTTTGGCTTTATTCCCTGCAAGCGGTATCACTCGCTAAAGATATTTCTCGTACAAGCCATACCACTCAATTTAAGGCAGCTAATGTATTTAAATATTTTCAAATTTTGCTATCATCTTTTCATGATCCCAATCAACAGACAGAACAATGCTTTGTGTATTTCATGTCAAGCTTATCTCATCCATATGACGTCCCCTAACTTCACACTGCTCTGATGGGCCAACTCACCGGAAGTAATGCTAAGGCCATTGTGTTGACCAATGTATAATTTCATCTACACTACTAAATAACTATAAAAATATACTTCTATTACATCTATGAAATACATAGTCTGGTAGTAGGGCGGTGTGGTCTGGAGGTAGTACACCCAATTGCTAACCCACAAGTCTTGAGTTCCTGGTGTTCTCCCAGCTCTTATGGTCTCCTGACTGAAGTTTGATAAAGTAAAGGCGGCTGGGCATTCAGCTGACCAGTGACCACATTACCCTTCCAATGCCGAGACTGCAGAAATTAGTTAATTAATTTAGCTTCAAGTGCCCTATTGAGGGCCTATATTGGCCTTAACAGCTTTACAGGTATGAGAAACGTGATCATTGTCATTAGGGGTCGACCATAAATGACGTCACACTCGTAGGGGGAAGGGGGGAGTCCGTAATTTTGTGACGGTGTGTGATGAGGGGGAGGGGTTCAGATGGTGTGACGTCACACTTTTGCATTATCAAAAAGCAATGTTAGAAAACGAATTTTAGACGTTATTTCGCGTTTTAGATAACTGTTTTAATAAATCGTAATAGTTTAGACAAGATTTTGGAAAAAAAATATCGATGTTTAAATAAAATTCAACTGCAATTTTGAGGGGGGTTGTAGGTTGAGGTGTGACGTCATTTTAGGGGGGGGGGGGTCTGGCTTTTTGTGACGCCGTATGACGGAGGGGAGGGGGGAGGTAAAAATCGTCAAAAAAAGCGTGACGTCATTTATGGATGACCCCTAATAATGCCTAATCCTAATAAGAATTATTTTGTTTTATTTTTAAATTATTATCATAGGCCTATTAAGATTAAGTAATGTGCTATGGGTAAAAAAACGTATTATCATGTTACACACTAACACTCAACTTGACACAGCTTACCTTGGATGTTTTGCCCATCGTAATCCAGCGAATCAATAATCTTAGTACCAAATCAATCCAGAAAATGTTAACATAAATTTAAGTATTTTTGAGAACACAAAATTGCGAATAGAATTCCCAACAGTGAGCTATTCATAGTTGTGTACACATCAACTGTCAACACACTGATAGCTGTATAGGCGGGTTCAGCACGGGAAATGGACCAATGAAATCCCAGCACTTATACCCATATCAACAGACGACAACTTCCTTGTGGGGTCGTGGTTCTCGTGTTGTTTAAGTTTGGACCGACAACTTCAGTCAGCAAGTAGATGCAGATCTAGATCTAGATTCTAGATCTATTTTAAGTAGTTCACTTTTCAGTTTAGAGTAAGCCAGAACTGAAGCATTACCAAAAAATACATTAATATTTTGGCTTTTTCTTTATGCAGTGTAAAAAATGCAAAGGGTTAAATTCGGGTTAATATTGTTGTACTACTTAGGATGACGTATGAAATTTATGAATATTTAATTAATTATTTCCAAATATATTGGTTTCACTTGAATGGATCTACTTTGTAAGATTATGTCCATTGAATGTAAATGTAAAAAAATAAACATAGGGACCCTACAACAATTCTAACATCAATCGCCGAAGCTAACGCTGGTAAACCGACCGATAAACGTTGATAACCCATACCCAAGTGTATTTATCTGAGCAGTCGCCCATCATACCCCACTTCCCCATCTGAGGACCACTGTTCCTGGTATCAATGTTAAAGACATACCCCACTTCCCCATTTTAGGACCACTGTTCCTGGTATCAATGTTAAAGACATACCCCACTTCCCTGTGTCTGAGGTCACATATTAGCTGTATGTCGTGTGTATTTTATACAAACGTTTTACGTTGTTTTAAGTATGAATAAGGAAATAAAATTAGTCTTATTTTATTTTTAAAAAAAAGTGTGATTGTTTTCAAAATGTACGCGAATCTCATTGGTTGAATTTATTATTATGAAAGCGTTGATGCAGTGTTTCTTCCTGACCTTTTTCTCCGGGGGGGGGGGGGGGGGGGTTTGGGGGGGGGGGGTTGGGGGGGGGGGCGTGGTGGACACTGCTAATTTGTTTTCTATACAAATTCCATTTTGTTCTATGAGATGCCTGGAAGAAACTCTGCGCCGATGTGATACATTTCGCGCGCAATATAATTGTATAAGTGTTATTTATTTAAGATTTTTCTAATTAATTTTAATAAATGTCTAATAGTAGGTTCCCAACTGGTCGACTAGACGTATACACAAAATTGTATCTTAAACTTATAACCTGACACTAGACGCGGCCTTGAATGCACGATGCTGACCAACATTCCAAACCAGTTTGTATTAGGCAACTTGTCGGGGGGGGGGGGGGGGGGTGTGGAGCCCGAAGCACATCCATCGCTTCCCCCCCCCCCCCCTCCCCCAATGAAAACGAAAAAAAAAAATTATATAGAAAATATATACTTAAACCAGTATTTAAATCCGGCCCCCTCCCCCCCTTCCCTTGAAAGTTTAAAATGCCCTCCCCCGAGATAAAAATGTCTGAAAGAAACCCTTGTTGTAGTTGGCGTTTAAAGATATATGCCGATTCCCCCCCCCCCCCCATCCCCGTCCAGCCAGTTGTATCCGGGTTCAATGTCAGTACCTTCATCAAACACAAGGCCCAACGGCCCAACCATTGAGAATGGTATCAAATATCACCCCCCCCCCCTATCCCCATCTTTCAGCTTCCTAATCAATTTTATCTTAAATTTATAAATCAATGCTCATCATCACCTTTATTTTTTATTTGATACAACTTTTATGGGTCGTGCACACACCCTATTACCTAACACAAAATAACACCTTCACCACTCCTCCAATTATAGGCTTCAGGCCAAATATTTCTAGAAGCATCTTCTCCCAATAATATCAAAGGCATAATTTGAGAAACCACCCTCAACACCGTGAGCAAGATCCGTTGTGTTCAGAATGAACATAGACATAATTCGGATAAAATCTGAAAAGAAAAACAAAACTTGAAAAAATAGAAACTTAAAATTTAATTTGTTCATTGTAGCCAACAAAATAAGTGATTATTTATTTGCATTAGTATGGGCTGGTGGGGTTTGGATGGTAATAATTTGGTTACAAATGTACTGTTACAGTGTGTAGAGCTGTTAGTGTTAGTTTTCTATTACCAACCGCAACTAGGATGAAAAATTTTTTTTTGGCTTGTTTTGCTTTTGTCCGGCGTCAACTCCCCTCCCCCTCCCATCACCCCCTCTACTGTAAATAAGTTCCGCGTGTGTACGAGGGGTTGTTTGTTACGAAGATTGATGTAGACCTATGCCTATACTTCATTACTGACCGAGAGATTTATATAAACACCATCACTGACAGAAATATGTGTGTGATGTGTGTATGTATGGAATGTGTATGTGCATATAGGATGTGAGTTTTATGGGATGTAGGTGTGAGACTGTGTATGGGATATAAATGTTTCAGGAATCTCTGTTTATAGAATAAGTGTGTGTTTGTGTTGTGTGGAATATCTAATTCATTCTGGCCTCTTTCGGCTCGTGCCTGTTTCAATGACCTCAGCAATTAGTGACTAATAGTTTGGGTAATTTTTTTAGCCCAATTAATTCTGAGGTGCATTTATGGTTGTTAAACCTGAGATTCTTATTATCTGCTAATTACTTGCCCCCCTCCCCAAGGTTCTTCTTAAAATATGGGAGATTCTAAGTGACAATGTATACACACAAGTCTTCAGTTATTCCCCTCAACACAGCTCGCATTCCAAATCTGGACAGTTTGGTGTTGTCATGGGAAACTTCTGCTGGTCAGTTTAGTGTGGGGAACTTCTACTGGTCAGTTTAGTCTAGACACAGGGAACTTCTGCTGGTCAGTTTAGTCTAGACACAGGGAACTTCTGCTGGTCAGTTTAGTGTTGTCACAGGGAACTTCTGCTGGTCAGTTTAGTCTTGTCATGGGAAACTTCTGCTGGTCAGTTTAGTGTGGGGAACTTCTGCTGGTCAGTTTAGTCTAGACACAGGGAACTTCTGTTGGTCAGTTTAGTCTTGTCACAGGGGAACTTCTGCTGGTCAGTTTAGTGTTGTCACAGGGAACTTCTGCCTGTCAGTTTAGTCTTGTCACAGGGAACTTCTGCTGGTCAGTTTAGTGTTGGGAACTTCTGCTGGTCAGTTTAGTCTTGTCTCAGGGAACTTCTGCTGGTCAGTTTAGTCTTGTCACAGGGAACTTCTGTTGGTCAGTTTAGTGTTGTCACAGGGAACTTCTGCTGGTCAGTTTAGTCTTGTCATGGGAAACTTCTGCTGGTCAGTTTAGTCTTGTCACAGGCAACTTCTGCTGGTCAGTTTAGTCTTGTCATGGGAAACTTCTGCTGGTCAGTTTAGTGTTGGGAACTTCTACTGGTCAGTTTAGTCTTGTCACAGGGAACTTCTGCTGGTCAGTTTAGTGTTCTCACAGGGAACTTCTGCTGGTCAGTTTAGTGTTGGGAACTTCTGCTGGTCAGTTTAGTGTTGTCACAGGGAACTTCTGCTGGTCAGTTTAGTGTTGGGAACTTCTGCTGGTCAGTTTAGTCTTGTCACAGGGAACTTCTGCTGGTCAGTTTAGTGTTGGGAACTTCTGCTGGTCAGTTTAGTCTCGACACAGGGAACTTCTGCCTGTCAGTTTAGTCTTGTCACAGGGAACTTCTGCTGGTCAGTTTAGTCTTGTCATGGGAAACTTCTGCTGGTCAGTTTAGTCTTGTCATGGGAAACTTCTGCTGGTCAGTTTAGTGTGGGGAACTTCTGCTGGTCAGTTTAGTCTAGACACAGGGAACATCTGCTGGTCAGTTTAGTGTTGTCACAGGGAACTTCTGCTGGTCAGTTTAGTGTTCTCACAGGGAACTTCTGCTGGTCAGTTTAGTCTTGTCACAGGGAACTTCTGCTGGTCAGTTTAGTGTTGGGAACTTCTGCTGGTCAGTTTAGTCTCGACACAGGGAACTTCTGCCTGTCAGTTTAGTCTTGTCACAGGGAACTTCTGCTGGTCAGTTTAGTCTTGTCACAGGCAACTTCTGCTGGTCAGTTTAGTGTTCTCACAGGGAACTTCTGCTGGTCAGTTTAGTCTTGTCACAGGGAACTTCTGCTGGTCAGTTTAGTGTTGGGAACTTCTGCTGGTCAGTTTAGTCTCGACACAGGGAACTTCTGCCTGTCAGTTTAGTCTTGTCACAGGGAACTTCTGCTGGTCAGTTTAGTCTTGTCATGGGAAACTTCTGCTGGTCAGTTTAGTGTGGGGAACTTCTGCTGGTCAGTTTAGTCTAGACACAGGGAACTTCTGCTGGTCAGTTTAGTGTTGTCACAGGAACTTCTGCTGGTCAGTTTAGTGTTCTCACAGGGAACTTCTGCTGGTCAGTTTAGTCTTGTCACAGGGAACTTCTTCTGGTCAGTTTAGTCTTGTCACAGGGAACTTCTGCTGGTCAGTTTAGTCTTGTCACAGGGAACTTCTGCCTGTCAGTTTAGTGTTGTCACAGAGAACTTCTGCTGGTCAGTTTAGTCTTGTCACAGGGAACTTCTGCTGGTCAGTTTAGTGTTGTCACAGGGAACTTCTGCTGGTCAGTTTAGTGTTGTCACAGGGAACTTGCTGGTCAGTTTAGTGTTGTCACAGGGAACTTGCTGGTCAGTTTAGTGTTGTCACAGGGAACTTCTGCTGGTCAGTTTAGTGTTGTCACAGGGAACATCTGCTGGTCAGTTTAGTGTTGTCACAGGGAACTTCTGCTGGTCAGTTTAGTCTTGTCACAGGGAACTTCTGCTGGTCAGTTTAGTGTTGTCACAGTGAACTTCTGCTGGTCAGTTTAGTCTTGTCACAGGGAACTTCTGCTGGTCAGTTTAGTGTTGTCACAGGGAACATCTGCTGGTCAGTTTAGTGTTGTCACAGGGAACTTCTGCTGGTCAGTTTAGTCTAGTCACAGGGAACTTCTGCTGGTCAGTTTAGTCTTGTCACAGGGAACTTCTGCTGGTCAGTTTAGTCTTGTCACAGGGTCATTTCCCTGATGTTCACAGTTTACATTTAAATGGAATAATAAAAACCATGAAATATTTTATTCCATACTTTATTTACACACAGTCCCAAAGTTTTATTATTAATTATCTGCTGTCAAAAGCATAAAGTTTTTGCCACAAAGTTATGTTCAAAATAAAATCTTTGATGAATATGAACAACCTATTTAGTCAAACAATTTAAAAATTGAATGGATGTATTTTTATATTCAATCTTACTAGATCACACATATATTTAATGTTCTTGAATGTACAATTTCATGGTTCAAATTGTGATTTGCATGATAATTTTCTTAGAACGAAAAAAATGCATAATTTTTGTATGTCTTGAAAAGTAATTTACCATTGAAAACACATAATGATATGTTGTGATCGTCAAGATCCATAACATTTTAAAATCAAATGAGTACAAGCTGTAAATGGAAGAATTCGAGATCACTTTGCTATAAAGAAGTTGTTGATTGCTTCCCTTAGTTCAAGGCACACAAGCATTATTAAATGGTACACAACTTTACAGTTCTTACTGTAAATCATTTGCAGATCAGAAAAGTAGTTGGGTACATAAAGCATTACTGATGCATAGAGAGCATTTTTAATTTAGGTCAAGCTCTGATTGTAAACTCAGTAAACATTAGAAAGAAGAAAAACTAAAACATATTTGTTATTTTAAGGAGTAATGGAATCAATACCATTATGGATAGACCTACTAAGATTTGAACCAGATTGAAAAAAATATTAATTTACTAGGGAATACCAAGTACCATGAATATCCAAGTTTAAATATTTAGTCTTAAACATAGATATTTTATGCTCAGTTCAAGAAAAATAAATATTTTAAAAAAATTCTTGGTATACATAAACTTTAAAATTAGTGACCTAAACAAGCCTAATTAAAGTTCTCTACAGTTTGATAATTATAAAAAGATTTTGGCACAACAAAACAACAGAAAACTACTAATTGAATCTTAAGGAATAAACAAAATAATAAACAAAACATGTTAAATAAATAGGCATTATACTTCTGTATTTAAAAACAAAGCATACAAAAAACCCTCACAAAACAGCAACAGTGGAAATGTTTGTTAATTCAGGAAATGGGAAAAATGATGATTTGCATGGTAAGAAAATTATGCTGCTTGCCGGATAGATAATATAAAAATACATCTGTTTACTGAATTAAAATTGTTTCAGTTCAAGAAGCAGTGAAAGTAAACACTTGTGGAGATAAAAAATATATTGGCTTGTATAGTTAACTAGATGATTGGCTAATGGGGTCAACTAGATGATTGGCTAATTGGGTCAACTAGTTAACTGGCTAACATTGTCAACTAGATGATTGGCTAACATTGTCAACTAGATGATTGGCTAACATTGTCAACTAGTTGATTGGCTAATGGGGTCAACTAGTTGATTGGCTAATGGGGTCAACTAGTTGATTGGCTAATGGGGTCAACTAGTTGACTGGCTAACATTGGCAACTTGTTGATTGGCTAATGGAGTCAACAAGTTGACAGATACCAGAACTAATATTACAGCAATAAGAAGAATAGAACTAATTTGTTATTTTGTATACTGAATAGATAAAAGGCAATTTTTGCTAAATAAATTCTCCCACTCTCCTGTCTAAACTGTGTGGAACAATAAATTCTCCCACTTCATGTATACAATGTGTGGAACTCTGTACAGCATAACACAGGGGCAAAAGGAGTACTCTGTGTTAAGTCCTAATGAGGTCCTCTCTCTGATTTAAATAATGTCCTGTCTGGAAGTCCTCTCTGTGACTTCAGGACAAAGTCCTCTGTGTATTTGAGTCCTTTAAGCAGCTATAGCCTCCACCAATTTATTCTTTAGCCAACCACACTTATAGTCGTGATTGTATCTAATGATGGAGAGACCTTTCAGCACATTGGGGAAGTTTCTTATTTCCTTGTCTATCTGAACAGGGATGATGTTCCTCTTTTTGGAATCTAAAACAAATAAAAACGTGATTGATAAACGCACAGCTTAAATAGTACAGGGCAAACATTAACATTACTTTAGTAAGTTTAATTTAGTTTATATTTCAGATGAGAAATGTTTTTTATGCCACGTCAACATATAGCACACATGAGGCTTCTATAAAGCAATCACACAACACATACATATGTTGTTTAGTCTTGATTTCAAGGATGTGTTACACAATTAGAAATTCATACCTTAAAATATCTAAATTTTGTTTAACTAAAATAGGCCAGTTTTTTAAGAGTACCTGGATCCAAGACTCTGGCAAATGAAGTTAAAAACATGCATTCATCAGATGAGGCGTAGTTCTCAGATAAGATGACAATAATTTTACCATTGCACCTGGAAAGTAAAACAAATTTCTTTTTAACAAGTCAAAATTGAAAGAAAAATTAAGCTAAAGAGTAAATTGCCTTAGTATGGGAACTAAAGTCATACGCCATTAAACATTTGCTGCAATATGAATATGTGGCGAATATTTTATACACTCTTATTTGGCGCAAAAAAAAAATTTAAAGTAGAAATAAAACAAATATCAGAACTTCTGTATCTGTTTTATGACTAGCTATTTTACTGATAGCAAAGTCCTGGGATTGCTAAATAACTTATTAGTTTTACACTAGGGTTTTGAATTCTTAGACTGTAATTTCCTACACTTTGATACAAAAGCTAATTAACAAGTAGGATCACTCAAGATTGTATTCTGGTACAAATTAAGAAATTAAATATTATAAATCAGATTTTCAGTTTAAACTGATAGTGATTGCATTTAGATGATAACAACATTTTAATTCAGAAAGAAAATTTTCTAGAAATAAAATAAATTTTGCTCTTATAGGTTTAAGGCTTAGCATAACCACAATCATTGCAGAAAATTGTATCAAGGCTTATCATTGCAGAAACTTGTATCAAGGCTTATCATAACCACAATCATTGCAGAAACTTGTATCAAAGCTTAGCATAACCACAATAATTGCAGAAACCTGTATCAAGACTTATCATTCCAGAAACTTGTATCAAGGCTTACCTTTCTTTTAGAACCCTGGACATGTTATCAAAATTTGGACCAGTCAGCACCTGTATCAAGGCTTACCTTTCTTCTAGAACCCTGGACATGTTATCAAAATTTGGGCCAGTCAGGACCAGGTCTCTGGGTGCAAGAAAGATCTGGAAGCCCCAGTCCTCAATCATACGGTGGAAGGATATGCCGAAAGTCTCGAGGTCCTTCGCAGCACAGCATAAATAAGCTACATAGTTCTTTTTCTTGCCATTGATTCCATCTGTCAGTTCAAATAAAAAAGTTTGGAAATGTATGTTTGAAGGTTTGAGTTGTTAAACGAGAATTTAAATATTTTTTGCAATAAAGATGAACTAATTTTATAAAAACAAAAATTGTTCTATAAAATAATACCTACACAAACATTTTTCTAAGAATAACTTGGATAAGTTTTAAAAATTTTAAAGGGTACAGTAAATAAAGAAATTTTGGAAATCATAAGAATAAAAATGTAATGATTAATATTGTATTAAACTTACAAACTATGTAAAAGAATGATAAGGAATATTTTTTTTTTTACCAAAAATTGAAAGCATGTCATTGGCTGGTTGATCAAACTTGACCATTTCCTGTCTCCTGGGGGTGGGGACTACTTCCTGTACCAGTCGTTTCTTTTCATCGGCATTTGAATTTTCTGCCAAAATTATAAAACTAGATTTAGTATAAAATAAATCTTTTATTAATAAGTAAATAAAATAATTATGAATCTAAGAAAGAAAATAGCTTCCAAAAATGGGATGAGTCAGCTGATAAATTACAAACATCAATTTAAACTGTGCCTCCAGAGATGAAATTTGTAGGCTAATATATTTTAATATAAGTAGTTTTATATTTAAAGCCTCATTGTTGTATTTATATAGATTGGTACATCATCTCTGTAAAACTGTTTTTGTCTCCCCTAGCTCTGGTCTGCCCCTTATTTTGAAAGTACACATCCAACTTTTGAAACAGCTGCCCAACAGAATTTTTGGGTTGTGAGAAATGAAATGAATCCCAAGGGGAAGAGGAAAGTAAACTGGCCAAGGAAATCATGAGAAGAACAGTAGAAGAAGAGGCAAGGGCTGCCAGGCTTACATGGACACAACTACAGAAAGCTGGCCAGGGGCCATAAAGGAACAAGAAGAAACAGAAATTAAATACTTCTTGATGTTAGTGTTCAAGGCAACATCACATTCTGTTGGTTATAAGAAAATGGTTATTGACTGTACTACTTAGCCATTCTAGCTACGTTAAGTGATATGCTGTTATTGAAGCTTATAGCTTAGATATTTGCCCTCCATCACTCTCACCACTTATTGTTAAAAAAATACAGAATCTCTCCCCCCCCCCCCCCCCCCCAAATCACAAACAACATAAACAGAATGATGGTGATTTATTATATCACAAACTTCAACCCTCCTCCTTCGTCACCTAACCACAGGTCTTGTCTTTGCATTTAATTTTAAGTTATAGCCCAGTGACGCAAGCCCTCATATTTCAGCCCCCTCTCCTAAGTAGCTCAAGATCACAAAATCTAGAAACCTCTCTTATTTTTTAAAATGAAGTGTTTTCATTTTACTGATTTTTTGTGTGTGATGAGGTAACCCTTTAATGTTTCTGTTAAAAATATTCTTTAACTTGTTAAGTGCGACAACTTTTAGTGAGGCCCTCAAACATTTTTTCAACTTAAATTATAAAACACAAAGGTCACTTGATCAGTGACTTGAGAAAACACTTCATTTTTGTAATGTCTAATAATAGACACAACGTTCTAGAAACTGTGACCTATTTTAGACATGTTGACATGTATGAAGTCAACACACCCAAAAGTGGGCCATAGAACAAGAGCCCCCATTTTTCAAAAAGCTCTTGGTGAAAAATTACAAAATAAACATTTCTTGAAAAATGCTCGTTAATATAATTTTTTTAATATAGCCCTGTTAAATTAAAACACACACACACATCCTTAAATTAATAAGGAAACAATTTTTTTGTTAGACTGAATATGCCAGAAAAAAAGGTTCCACCTGAAGGAGCAACTTTAAAAATTGTGATTTTAGTGTTTAAAGAAATTTAATTTTGAATACACACCCACTAAGTACACACAGAGGAGGAAAGTATGCTTATAGGTCTACTGGTAAATTTACATAAGACAGGCTGCTGTTAAACATATTGACAGTTAAAAATTATTGTATTTGAATAGGCTTATACATTTTATGTTAATGAACATTTAAGAAAAAGAAAATTATAAATTGTCAAATTTTTTATCAATATATTGTTTGACGTAAAAAAAAAAACAATGTCCATTGGCCTAATTATTATTTCTATAAAGAACGCCACTGTATTGTATAGAGCAAATTCACACCTCATCTTTGTTAGTCATCAGTTCAACAGCTGTTTCTCTGAAATGGCTGACATTTTTGGGGATCTGATGTAAGTGTGAAAAACTGCGATTTTATGAAGCTCGAGTTCAAAGAGCAAAGGTCAAATATGACTAATTGGCAGAATAGCTGGTTGGTGTTTTAGATGGATGATAAAATTGCATTTTACCATAATAATCCCTGCCTGTTTTTAAAGTACTGTAAAATATATAAAAAGTAAATTTTTACCTTGTGCCTTGTGTTCTGAAAAAGGCAAATCTTTGCCTGGTTCTCTCTTGGTTTCTTGCCTAGTCGGGTGATCCAACCTGCTGGCTCCCCCTGTCTCCTGTGTTTGGTCATCTCCCTCTAGTTCTGCCACCACCAGTCTCCCAGAGCCACCCTGGGCTGCCTGCTGGAAAGGTCTACACGCGTCTGAGAGAGAACACTCATGCCCAATGTTGATGTGTTTTGGGTTGCTGCTTTCACTTTCTGAAGAGCTCCTTTTGTGGGAGGTATCACTGCGATGTTGGGCTGATTGACTGGAGTCATACGATCTATGAGTAAATAACTTGTGTAGCGAAACGTACTCTGTTTTTGATACATTTTGTGGCAGCACATACTCTGTCTTTGATACATTATGTGGTGGCACGTACACTGTCTTTGATACCTTTTGTGATGGCAGATACACTGTCTTTGACTGAGGGTTCTCTGTATTGACAGACGACACTGTATCTGAAGTTTGGTTAAAAGAATTTGAAGCCTTGATGAGATCAGGGTGTGGCACATCAAAGTGCATGTGAGTTGAAGATTTGAGATTGTCACTGTTATGTCCAGAATGTTTATGATTATTATGGTTCCAGCCCTTAATAGATTCTGAACCATTATGAGCATTTGCTTGCATAGTACAGAAGCCACGAGACTCATATCCTTTGCTATCATTACAGCCCAAGCTCTGAGCGTAGGATGAAACACAAGTTTTGCAGCTTAAGGAAGCCAGCTCAGAAATAGCAGTAGCTGCAGCACAGTCTGTGGCGGTGAGATTTTCTTCCGTGGTCAAATCCTGGGAGTCACAAAGGAAGTTTTGATGGTTGGTGAATCTCACAGGGTTGGACGCGCTGCTCCAGCCTGAACTTGTATCAGGGCTGCTGCGTACGTCAGCTGATGACACAGCAAAACAGTTGCTGTCAGCTGCGTGAGATGACTGCATACAGACAACAGAAGAGAGGGGTGCCCCAGGTAATGGACCAAAGGAATACAGAGCAGGGTCACATGATGCAGGAGCTATGCTGCCATTGGTTGCTGTAAATCCTCCAGAGTCATCAACTTCACTTGACTCAACAGCGTTTCGGTTACATTGTGAAGACAAAGAAATACCGAAACTTTTCTGTTGATAGCTAATATTGCTTTTATTTGAATAAAGGCTGTGTTCCATGCTGTTGTTGTAGTTCTCAGACGTACATCTTGCAGAGAGATGTTCAGAGGCTAGAGAGTCTCTCGACTCATGGAAGGGATCTGCTGCTTCAACACAGCAGACGCAAGGATTGAACTCACAGCTGCTGCTGGAGGTCTCTCTAGTGCCAGAGTTAGCCGTAAAGTGGGCCGTGTCAAAAGATTGTCTGGTGCTGTAGCTGGACGCTGCTTCAAGCCCAAATTGGTTGGAACCAAAGTACGAGAAGGCATCACTTGCAGGCTCAACTGACTCCGGTGTTCTGGCCAGACCTGAATTTACCTGCAAGTCACCTGGGTAATCCATTGTTTTAGCTAAAGAAGGCAACGAATCCATCTGCAGCACACAACCATGCGAGTCTAGCTCAGAGTTGTGGAACTTCCCACAGGCTGGTGTTAGTATTTTGGGAGCTTGGCTGTGTGTTGCACTACAGTCTGGAAGATTTTCTTTCGAGCTAGAGTTGCTGGGCTTGGGTTTGGTTGATGGTGTCTGGAACTTCCTGCTGGACAGAGGGAGGTCAGCTGCAGAAGATGATCTGTTGTTGCAGGCTGATAGAGTGGACTGAGCCAGAACTCTGGGGTTAAACCCACAGTGAGAAGATGATGCTAGGCCATTGCATGCAACATTAGTCTCAGAGCAAGTGGAGGTCAGGCGGCCATTTTCTAAGGACTGTAGATGGTTGAGTTCGTTTAGTGAGCTGTAGTTGTTGGCAACAGAGCCGTACCTAAGTGGTGGTGCCACCTGCTGCAGCCCACTCTGAGACCCCTTGTCCCAGTGGACCTGTCCGTTAGAACCAGCCCCAGGCCCTCTGGAAGTCAGACTTGCTGCGGCTGACCCAGGGGCATCATCGTTGATAGAGTAGTTGCTGCTGAAAGACCTGGGGCTGCAGTTGGCCAGATTTCTGTCCCTGTTTCTGGTGGACGTGGAGTAGATGGCAACCGATGGCCAGGGCGTCACGTTCATGTACAGACTTTCTAGAAACACAAGGACAACCATGTTCATGTACAGACTTTCTAGAAACACAATCACAACACAGTGTTATAAGAACATGTACAGACTTTCTAGAAACACAAGGACAACACAGTGTTATAAGAAAACATGTACAGACTTTCTAGAAACACAATCACAACACAGTGTAATAAGAAAACATGTACAGATTTTCTACAAACACAATAACAACACAGTGTTATAAGAAAACATGTACAGACTTTCTACAAACACAATAACAACACAGTGTTATAAGAAAACATGTACAGATTTTCTAGAAACACAAGGACAACCATGTTCATGTACAGACTTTCTAGAAACACAATCACAACACAGTGTTATAAGAAAACATGTACAGACTTTCTAGAAACACAATCACAACACAGTGTAATAAGAAAACATGTACAGACTTTCTACAAACACAATCACAACAGTGTTATAAGAAAAAAATTTAATATACTGAACTATATCAGTTGACTAAACAGCCCTATAGATTATTGCCTTCTAGAAATTTGACCCTATTCATCAAACCTACACTTTGATCTTTGAAAAGAAATACACAAAGCTAGAATGTATAACTATTGTTTTCTTATTGCCTCTTTGGACCCTTTACATTTTTGAAATTTTAACTATAACAACATATTTAAATTTATTAAAAATAAAAGCAGAAAATTGTATATGACAAAAATGGCTTTAAAATTGGCTTACTATTTATTGTTGGTGCTTGTAAATATTAAAAATTGGCTTACTATTTATTGTTGGTGTTTGTAAATATTTAAAATTGGCTTACTATTTATTGTTGGTGTTTGTAAATATTTAAAATTGGCTTACTATTTATTGTTGGTGTTTGTAAATATTTAAAATTGGCTTACTATTTATTGTTGGTGTTTGTAAATATTTAAAATTGGCTTACTATTTATTGTTGGTGCTTGTAAATATTTAAAATTGGCTTACTATTTATTGTTGGTGTTTGTAAATATTTAAAATTGGCTTACTATTTATTGTTGGTGTTTGTAAATATTTAAAATTGGCTTACTATTTATTGTTGGTGTTTGTAAATTTGTCTGGCCAGTGGACTCAGTATTACCCATCGCATGCACTCACTGCTGAGATGGCTGGTCTTGATTAACTTTTGAGATGGCTAGCTTTGTGCTGATCAACTGCAATTAACTGGAATCAACTGTAATGAAAAATAAAAAGCAATTTTATTCATACATTTATTAATATTTCTGTGTAAATGTATGTGCTTATAATAATTATATTAGTGCGTTATTATGTTTATTTTGTTTCATAATTTGGCTAATTATTTGATTTTGAATTAGTGGTTAGACCTTTTTATTTTGGTGTCACATTTTCAATTAATGTTAGAAGAATGTCATAAATATAGTGTGACTACTGATACACCAAATCTTACACAACTCATTCTAAAAGTGTGCATTCCCTTTCATTAAAGTACATTTATACACCCCCCCCCCCCCTACAAAATGGCTATGAATACACCAATACTCAATTAAACTAGAAGGGCCTATAACTCTCACAAAAGTGGTAACCAGATCTAGATTACATCCCCTGCCATGCGGAACAAAGTAATAAATTCTCCTTGGAACCTATGAACACATCCTACGCTTAAGTTGAACAATAACCAGAATAATTGTATCCAGTGTTTCTTTCAAACATTTTTCTCATAGGGGTGTTGGGTTGCTTAAAAATTTCGTATAGGGGAGGGGGGTGTTAGTGTCCCCTATAAGAGATGCTTGAAAGAAACTGATTATTAGGCTACCTGAATTTACAGTTATATAATCCAATTAGCCTGTTGTCTTAATCAGGAACCACCTACATACTAGAGCGTTTTGCAGTGGCTACTATAACAAAAATTAGAAATTTATTTTCGCACACAAATCCTATACGTGATCGTCATAAGCCGACATATATTAGATCTAATCTATAGCCTACATAAGCTATCCTCCTTGTCAAGCACAATCTAGCTTACGTTTCACCAATATTGACAACTACACAATCGTCATCTAGGCCTGCACTACGACAAGAAAACGATTTAGAAAACATGGCGACGTCAAGACAACACCAATCTCTGGTTTAACTCAAAAGCTTTAGAAATCGCGAGTCTTACACAAAGTCACGCTGAGCGTTTGAGTTTCCTGAGTGACTCATTCCAAAACCGAAAGCCTAGCAGCAGACGCGTGTCGAGCAGCACAGCGAAAATGAATTTTTAAAAAAAAACTCAGCATCTCAACTTGTTAAAAACGAAACAAATTGTTAACTATGAAATGAAAGAAAGTGTTTGGATCTTTCCTTGTAATCCTAATCCGATGAATGGATTTGCTTTACGCCGGTATTGCAGAGCACTAATATAGCTGTACACCTGAAGGCTACGCATAAAGATCACTAATATAGGTCCACCTATACTCCTATAGGCTACAAATAAAGATCACTAATATAGGTCCACCTATACTCCTGAAGGCTACATATAAACGCAGATTAGTCCCTGTTCACTCTCCACACTTACATTAACCCTTATTAAAAAAAATCTAACCATCTTTTCTGTCATAAGTTTAACAAGAAGGCCCTAGTTTGCGTGAAGATCGTCCATGACTTTGGCCTACATTACGTAACATAATGTGACGTAGCATATTTTCAGCATTCTCTAGGGGTTTTTTTAACACTGGCTACAGAATTGTGTGAGAATATGAACACCTTTTGACATAGGGCCTACAGAATGTCTATAGGCGTGAAAGTCTTAAACGCAGGTGTGGGGGGGGGGGGGGGGGGCTTAACCGCAGCTATGGGGGGGGGGGGGGATCCTATACAGTTGTTAGGACCCTATTAATCGGGCTTGCATGCTTCCACCAAGGTGGGTGGAGGTCTTTACTACAGGTGTTGGGCTTTCACTACAGGTGTGGTAGCCTTCACTACAGGTGTGCTAGCTTTCATTACAGCTGTGCTAGCCTTCAATACAAGTGTAGTTGCCTTCAGCGACCAAACCATACCCGCACAACAAGTCTTTTGTACCTCTGCTCACAATTTATTTCCGCGTTCCAGTTATCCGCGCAGACACGTCTAGTGAACTCTATGTTTAATATCGCCAAATACATGTTAGAAAAATAAAACTGAACTATATTACAGAGTCCGGCGCAAATAAATCTGGTTCAAATGAATCTGCTCGAGCTGATGAATTCACCTGATGAATGTACCCCCGGGCTTTTCAATGCATCCCCGGGTTGATCAATGCACCCCTTGGGCTGATGTACTCCTCTTCTCTACAAAAACTAGATAACTACAAGCTCTAATAATTATCATTTAAAAAGTTTTAATATTTTGCCTCCCGATTTTTATTGTAGAGATAATTATCATTAAAAAAGTTTTTAAAAACCCACGTTTTCTGATTGAACTAAAAAGTAGAAAATAAATGCTATACATCACAATAATGCAAGCGATCACTCTACTATAAGCGATGAAAAACGTGGGGCGCCGAAGTAAAAGTTTTTTATCGGTCATTGTTAATATAAGATGTAAAAGTTATATTACTATTGATTAGATAATACTATTGACTTTTACTAGGGAGCTTGTAGAGAGTCAACAGTATTAGAAACTGTAAGAAAATCACGGCGCCCCGCGTTTTTCATCGCTTATAGTAGAGTGATCGCTTGCATTATTGTAATGTATAGCATTTATTTTCTACTTTTTAGTTCAATCAGAAAACGTGGGTTTTTTAAAAACTTTTTTAATGATAATTATTTTCTACTTTTTAGTCTTTGTCTGTTTGTTTGCATTGAAATCTTGCTATCGATTTGATCTTCTCGCATTCACTTTTTTTTTTTGGGTAAACGAAGACAACTCGTAAAAAACACGTGCCTTGAACCCGTGTCGAGTGGGTTAGCAATCGTGTGCCCAACCACTCGACCATATCGTCTCCCCCATACTGGCCACCAGTTGTTACCTTCCGGTTGTTTGTACACAAACACCGCGTGACAACTACTCAGTAAGCAAAAAGAGGGAGAGTACCGAACCTTGTTTTCATCAAATTACAATTACTGGGTATGTCCCTTTTTGCCCACGTTTTTTGTACAATTATATAGCGGTCTAAAATGATCAATAAAATGTTTCCATGGATCAATTTAGTAATAATAACAATTGAATATTCTATTGTCATCGGAAACAAAGCTTCCCTGAAAATTTCAGCGCGCTAGCTAACTGGGAAGTGCCCGAAATTTCGATCGCAAGATTTGATTGGAAAGACGCGAAAGCAAGTTAAAGAAAACGTGGGAAAAATTTGGAATAAAATCGAAATACTAGACGAACAACTGCAAGTAAAACGGATTAAATAAAATTATCCAATAACTTTAGTATCTTGCACTAGACTATACATTAGTAGGCCGAATGGCCGTACATATTCAATGTTTGACTAACCTGACACGTCTAATCCACAATCTGACACATAACACGATCTCAAACACGCTGACATTATTCTATTTGATGCAGGTATGCTTTAGAAAACTCCCGCATTAGAACATGCTAGTACTCACACTGTGTATGTTGCAGTTGACGGAACTAGTACTCACTCTATGCATGTTGCAGTAGATGGAACTAGCTTTTATATCCAAAACAAAGTGTTTTCCGAACACACAAGTCAAAAGGTCACCGTCGAATTTTCCAAGCCTTGAAATCCCATCATGTTTTCCCGGCTTAGATAACAGTTACCGCACTAAGTAAATCACAAGAGCTCCAAATTCTTCAACTCTGCGATAAAACTCAGCTCCAAAGTCACATGATTCAAGTGCTGCAGGCTATTTTTAGCTCGGATGTAGGATATTTGTGTGACCTGGTGACCTTGTGTTACAAAGTGTACCATGTCAACAGACAAGCCATTCAGGGAAACATGTTTACTATGTGAGCCCGGTACTTTCCAGTCCCTCTCAACATAACACTGACCCTATATATAACATTGACCCCAGTGGGAAAACAAGACAGTGATATTTAACAATACCGGGGTTTTGTTTTAAGAGAACCGGGAATTTCGCATCCTATATTTGTTTCTGAGACGCTTCGGGAATTCACAAGGGCAAAGGTACCTTGGATACCCAAGTGGCTCATTGATGGATGGGGTAAAGTTGCGTCATGTATGTAGATACAGAGGACTTGAGAATCTAAGTCTCAAGAAATACAAAATACATTTTTATAATTTGGTGTGTGACAATGTCGTCAAGCGGAGAATCTGATATTAATCCTGCCAGTAGCTGGTTCGGAACCCACTTGTTTGTGAATATGTAGGCCTAACTTAAAATGTGTGCTTGACAGAGCTCCCCCAGACTGGCTGAGTCCTGGTGGTGAATCCCACAGCACGTAGTGTTTCTTTCAGACTTTTTCTCTACGGGGGAGGGGGACTTAACTTTCCGGGAGGGTAGGGAGACAATAGTAAAAGTATATATTTTTATATACATTATTTAGTTGGGGGTGGGGGAGGGGAGGGGCGGTAGACGTGCCCCGGGGCCCACTATGATGCCTGAACGAAACACTGACGACAGCACGCCACAGATAGGTGGAGTAGACCGTCGCTGATCAGCAGCTTCTTCAAACCAGATTTGACAAAACACACATTATAAGACTGATATGAAAGGAGATTTTTTGGTGGGATCTGAACTATGACGCAACTATGACGCAACGCGATGAACCCAGATTTGTTGAAAGTGGGCATTATATTGTTAATTGTGACGTTTGTTAACCCAGATTTGTTGAAAGTGGGCATTATATTGTTAATTGTGACGTTTGTTAACCCAGATTTGTTGAAAGTGGGCATTATATTGTTAATTGTGACGTTTGTTAACCCACATTTGTTGAAAGTGGGCATTATATTGTTAATTGTGACGTTTGTTAACCCAGATTAATTGAAAGTGGGCATTATATTGTTAATTGTGACGTTTGTTAACCCAGATTAATTGAAAGTGGGCATTATATTGTTAATTGTGACGTTTGTTAACCCAGATTAATTGAAAGTGGGCATTATATTGTTAATTGTGACGTTTGTTAACCCAGATTAATTGAAAGTGGGCATTATATTGTTAATTGTGACGTTTGTTAACCCAGATTAATTGAAAGTGGGCATTATATTGTTAATTGTGACGTTTGTTAACCCAGATTAATTGAAAGTGGGCATTATATTGTTAATTGTGGCGTTTGTTAACCCAGATTAATTGAAAGTGGGCATTATATTGTTAATTGTGACGTTTGTTAACCCAGATTTGTTGAAAGTGGGCATTATATTGTTAATTGTGACGTTTTTTACCCAGATTATTTGAAAGTGGGCATTATATTGTTAATTGTGACGTTTGTTAACCCAGATTAATTGAAAGTGGGCATTATATTGTTAATTGTGACGTTTGTTAACCCAGATTAATTGAAAGTGAGCATTATATTGTTAATTGTGACGTTTTTTACCCAGATTAATTGAAAGTGGGCATTATATTGTTAATTGTGACGTTTGTTAACCCAGATTAATTGAAAGTGGGCATTATATTGTTAATTGTGACGTTTGTTAACCCAGATTAATTGAAAGTGGGCATTATATTGTTAATTGTGACGTTTGTTAACCCAGATTAATTGAAAGTGAGCATTATATTGTTAATTGTGACGTTTGTTAACCCAGATTAATTGAAAGTGGGCATTATATTGTTAATTGTGACGTTTGTTAACCCAGATTAATTGAAAGTGGGCATTATATTGTTAATTGTGACGTTTGTTAACCCAGATTAATTGAAAGTGAGCATTATCTTTTTAATTGTGACGTTTTTTACCCAGATTAATTGAAAGTGAGCATTATCTTTTTAATTGTGACGTTTGTTAAGGTTCACAAACAGAACTATAAGTTTTGTTAGCTTTCATCTTCGCCAATGCTTTTGTTGTTGAGCTGTTTGTTCCCATTTTCCTGAGACGTTTTGTCACATTTTGGCTGAATACTGATATGACCTGTTCAGCTTGTTATAGTTATAACGTTTAAAATATTTTTATTAAAACCATTATCTTTGGAGACGGGTTTAAAATGGATTTAAAGCCACAAAGAAATCCAATACTAACAAAACAAACTGGCGAGCTATATTTAGCTGATAAGCCAGGAGCTTTGGAGGTTGAGGTTTGTGAAGAATGAGGATAGAGTTGAGGGGAGGGTAAGACTAGTGAGAGTCTAAAGATAGAAATGTTGTCATGTGGTTTATGTGTACTAAATAACAATGAGACCACGTGACTCCCAATGTTTACACCAGGAAGTAAAGAGCATGCTGGGAGATAAACGAGTTAGATAAGGCCTGGGGCATGGTTACGCATTGCGTGACTTCCGCTCACTTTAACTTATCTGCATCTCCATTGAGAAGGAGAGGGATGGGAAGGTGGGGGCTCACATTTCATTGGATGAAACTACCTATGAATGATATGGTAAAAACCGGCTGTCGCGCTACAAATGAATTCCCACTACGTCACGTCCACGTAGGCCTTGGTGGTTGGTGCGATAGCAACAGGTATACAGGGGCCCTAGTATTTTAGACGTAGAGGGCTTAGGGTCAGAGGCGTAGCGAGGGGGGGGGGGGGGCGGGGGGCAGCGGACCGCACTGGGTGACACCATTTAGGGGGGGGGGGTAACACCAAGGTAAAAAAAAATAGCAAAATATACAGAGAAAAACTTTAGGGGGGGGGGGGGTGCAAATCGAAAGTCTGAGACATTTTGAGAGAGGGGTGCAAATCGAAAATTTGAAAGTTTGACCCCGGGAAGGGTCGCTACGCCTCTGGGGGGTGTCACCATTAAGTGCCGCACCGGATGACAACCGACCGCGCTACGCCACTGCATAGGGTTATCAATGCAAGGGGCCCTGACGATAGCGTGGTTGAGGAGCAGAAAGCTAGAGGACATCGACCGTTAGAATCTCTGAGGTAAGGTCGAGCCTGGTAGAACATCTAACACGTAGACGCACTTGAGAAGGGAAGACACAAAACACCCTAACGCCCTTGAATGCGTTTCCCTATAGTTAAACATGTAGACATACCCATCGGGATCCGAACTCGAGAATGTGTTTTCTCAAATAAATATGTTACACTTTTTCTTAAACTCTATTTCATGTTTAAAAAAAAAACAACTAATTTTGTAAAGAAAGATTTGGGCATATTCGTGTTTTGGGGTCGTCCATGAATAACATCACACTGGTAGGGGGAGGGGTCCGTAATTTTGTGACGGTGTATGATGAGGGGGAGGGGGGGGGGGGGGGTTCAGATGGTGTTACGTCACTTTTTTGCATTATAAAAAGCATTGTTAGAAAACTAGTTTTAGCCGTTATTTCGCGTTTTTGAAAACGGTTTTAATAAATTGTAACAGGAATTGATCAAAATACTCGATTTTGACGGAGTTCTAACAAGATTTTTGAAAAATATGGATGTTTTAAGAACAATTCAACAGCAATGTTGAGGGGGGTTGTATGCTGAGGTATGACGTCATTTTAGGGGGTGGGGGGTCTGGCTTTTTGTGACAACGTGTAACAGAGGGGATTGGGGGGGGGGGGGGGGGTAAAACATCGTAAAAAAAAAGCGTGATGTCCTTTATGGATGACCCCTTTATCGAAATTTCAAATTACGTTTACACATAGTGTTCAAAATAGCAAATCACTTGGTAACAAGTTGGCTAATTAGCGTTATTTTAAAAAGCGTTAAGCTAATTTACTCATCAGGCTTAACTGTAAATCTTAACAATAACAATGCCACAAAAATAAGCTATAATTGTCACATGAATAAAAAATTGGTTTTATTAAAAATTTTGACGCAATTAATATTGACTAATAGCAATTATCTTAATTGTTAATAATTATTATTGAATATAATTATTAATTAATGAGTAGGCGTAGAATAACTTAGTAATCCCACAGTGCTAGTACATTGGCCGAGAAGTAGGGCGCTAGACTGCTGACCCGAAAGTCTAGAGTTCTGATCCCGGGCTCAAGTCTTAAGGACGGCCCTGAGTCCACCCAGCTCTAATGGGTACCTGTCTCAGGTTACACTATTCCAGTGTATGCCGAGGTCCCTGAGGCAGATGAACTCTACTTCATCTGTCCCATGTACCTTGGCCACGACCGGAACAAAAGATGATAATGATGAATCTAGGGAGTTGGGAGACGGTTAATATTAATATTTAGTAATGTTTGTATACGGATTGTAGGTAGACTAACTAGCCTTAGCAAACGGCCTACCACTAACCAACTATTTAGAATAGACACTTAGGCCCAATAAAAAGAGTACTAGGCCTAGATCTATAAATTATTATTTAACAGTATTTTACTTTTACTAGAAGATCTATTTACTATTTACTATTTAGTTTCGATATATGCCTTGCCCTTATATGGTGCACCCTTATTTCTTTTAAAAAGACTGCAACAATAAACATTACAGCTAATTTAGGATAAAACAGTTAAAAATTTAACAAACCATAGATCTACATACCACAATCTCAGTCCACAAGTATTCCTCTATTTTTCTTCTTTGGCTATGGGCCTTGCCTCAACTCAAGAAGCCGGCACTGTGAATGTAGCAGCCGCCATTACATTAGCCGAATGGTCGCTACAGTACACAAACAACTTTGTATGGACCTACACACAACATTGCGTGAGATCTAGATTCTACATCTTCATCTTCTTCAATACGAGAAATTCCGTACATAGATCTACAAATAAGATCAACATGTCGCAAAAACTACACAAATGAAATCTAGTTCTTTCAAGTGCTTGTTAAGTGTGTAGGCTGTTGTTTTTTTTTGTTTTGTTTTTCCCGTCCACGTAAAATTTCAAGGAAAACATTTTGACCCAAATAGTAACACGCTTTATCTACGGTATCCCGATTTGTTAAATTTACTCAAAACTAGTTTTTAGATTAACACGTTTTACTTGTTTTATAGTGATATAAAAAGAAATATAGTGCTTAAACTAAGAATACGTATAATCTAATTTTCAATAGATAAAAAAAAATTAGAATTGCAAGTTCTTTATACTTACATAATATTATAAATATAATTAACCAAAGAGGAAATAAATAAGTTGATAGAATTGGTTACCATACTAAAATTACGGGAATTCCCCGTGGAATTCTAACACTGAGGACGGGCATGTAAAATTGTTCATGCTTGCCGTATTATTTGCAAATTAGAAACTGATAACTAAAATATTTTATGAATTTTGCGATATGTAGCACACATGTTATCAATAATGCAAACATTTTTAAACTAAGTTCTGCGCTGTTAGTTCGTAGAGTAAATTTTATTAATCTTTCTAAAACCTTTTGAAAAAGATAACAGAACGGCATAGCATCATATTGTAAATAAAAAAAATTAAGCAAAAAATAAATTAATATAATTGTTTAAAGATATGCTTAGACAATTGAAGATTTTAATTGATATACATTTCTCTACTAAAAAAAAACTTTCTATATTGGTTCAGCTGGGGGTCGAACCCAGGACCTTTCGCGTGTGAGGCGAACGTGATAACCACTACACTACTGAACCGGATGTCTAATAGGCACATTATTAGGCGTCATGAGACATGCTAACAGAAGGGAGACAATCGTGTTTTTTTTTACGTTTTCAATTTTAAATGTGCTTCAGACCCTTTCACAACTGTCTAAATTACGGTAGATAACTAGTGTTGGATTTTACAGGATTATTTTACTAAGCTACTTCCCCTTCCTACATTTTATAATATTTTAAAATTTGTGCTTAACTAATTGATTTATATTTCTAACGATTTATTTGTACTTTAATGAATGCCCTACTTATTTGATTTTTTTTCTGTAGCGTATTTGTTTTTTCTACGATGTAAGGAGCCTTATGCTCAATCTCCCCCACCTAGAAGAATTTCACTTCGGCCGTGATTTTGCCTGTTAGTAAACTGTTTTAATAAAGTGTGTTAGAAAGTGAATGACATGCTCTTTATTGATCAAGCTATGACAATAATGGTGGTTTGGGGGGGGGGGGGGTCGTAGGCTGAGATATGTGGTGTGTGACGTTAATTTAAGCCCTGGGGCGGGAGCGTCTGGCTTTTTGAGACGATGTGAATGAAGGTGAGGGGGAGAGGTGAAAATCTTTATTTGAGCGTGTCGTTGTGTGGATAAACCCTTTATTTTAAGACCCCCCCCCCCCCGCCCCTTCCCTCATCTGTAGAGCATGGCCCGTTCTCTCCACATTAATCACCTGAACCACTGATCGGGTAGTGTTGCCTCACATTGTCAATTGTAGGGTGGGAAGCTGTTGTAGCGAAGGTAACTGGTGGTTTAGCCTAACGACCCTTGACCTCGCATTCAACATACTCAGGTGTTTTTTTTTTTTTTTTTTTTTTTTTTTAAGACATGTCCTCTCTCGGTGATATCAGTTTTTTTTTTATCAGTTGCGATATTTACGTTATGCTAGAGGTGAAACAAGGATATCAACCGGTTCAGTAGTGTAGTGGTTATCACGTTCGCCTCACACGCGAAAGGTCCTGGGTTCGACCCCCAGCTGAACCAAATAATCTATTACTTTTTGAAAACCTGTTTATCAGTTATTTTGCCTAACCTCAATAAATAATAAACAAAGCACTGTTTTGAGAAATACAATGCAACACTTGGAGAGTTTAAAAAGACTTGTTAATTTACAGACATGAATTTTATACAGACCCGTATTTTAATACAAACCCGTTTTTTTAAATTCTGATTTTGAACTTGTGTTCTTCTACATGGTGCTGGTTTGTTTTGCTAGTTACAAGGATTGCAAGGCTCAACTTAGGGTCATGGGTCAGTTGTTGGCTCATGGGTTAGTTGTCGGCTCATGAGTCAGCTGTCGGCTCGTGGGTCAGCCGTCCATCTATGGGTCACCCCAAGAGGTTGAGGCCAGCTCCTTTGGCAGATTCTGTTTATGCCTTCCTCCTGGCTTGCTCAGCTAATGCCCCGGGTGGTCAGCTTTTGGCCGGGGGTCAGCTTTTGGCCAGGGGTCAGCTTTTGGCCAGGGGGTCAGCTAATGCCCCGGGGGTCAGCTAACGGCCCGGGGGTCAGCTAATGGCCTGGGGGTCAGCTAATGCCCCGAGGGTCAGCTATTGGCCAAGGGTTCAGCTTTTGGCCAGGGGTCAGCTTTTGGCCAGGGGGTCAGCTAATGCCCCGGGGGTCAGCTAATGGCCCGGGGGTCAGCCAATGCCCCGGGGGTCAGCTAATGGCCCGGGGGTCAGCTAATGGCCCGGGGGTCAGCTAATGGCCCGGGGGTCAGCTAATGCCCCGGGGGTCAGCTAATGGCCCGGGGGTCAGCTAATGCCCCGGGGGTCAGCTAATGCCCCGGGGGTCAGCTAATGGCCCGGGGGTCAGCTATTGGCCAAAGGGTCAGCTAGAAGCTGACATACTGTAATAAACTGACGTTTACAAACACAAAAAAAACAAGAAAACTCAAAGCAGCACTAGAAAAAATACCGTAATACTTTTAATTTGACCAAAAATAGTTGCTCGTCTCGAAGCTCTAAGGTTAAGATAATCTTCACGAGACAGCTAATTAAATTAACATTTGCATAAAACACAAATTGCATGAAAAATAAGTAAATAAACCCTCATGTATGTAATGCAACAGAACCCACGGTTGTATAGATAAACAATAATACATATCATGTTATCAATCTTTTTTTAGTAACAATGTCACGTGTTCACAAATGTAAAAAATGGCGGATGTGAGCTAATGCAACAACAATGTGCGGCAGGTGACCAGTGTTTCTTCCAGACTTTTCCTCCGAAGGGGGGGGGGGGGCGGGGCGGGGCGGACACTAGTAAAAATATATATTTTCTATATACATTTCCATTTTGTTCCATTTCGTTCCGGGGGGCTCAGCCCCCCCCCCCCCCCTTCTCGAAGAGATGCCTGGAAGAGACGCAGCATGTCACAATTGAAATGAGTATGAGCGAAATTCGTTCAACTTTAAATAGTTAAATTGCAGAGGGGAAAAAAAACGTGTTTGACAAAAAATCCTGTTAAAAATGAATTATTAAGCAGTTTAGTATATAATTAGTTTTAAATTTTAGTCATTGTAACTAAGAGAACTGATGAAATAATTGTTAAACTATTTTACTGAGTCTACAAATTTCAATTGGACGTTAAAATCGATAATTCAGTGCGGTCACTTATTTTTTTCTTTTAGAACTTGAAACCTTAAAGAAATATTTTCCTGGCGTTTTGAATGCATTTTGATTTCGCTGTGGAGTGTATAAATGTAGCAGATTTTTATCATGATAATTCAAATATTTGTTTGATTTTAATCTGTTTGTTTTAGTAGTGCGCCTTTTCTCACCCTCCAGTAAACGTTCTGGTTAGTAAACACAATTTTATACTTTGTTTGCCGCCAGATCAGAACAGATAATATTTACATGTTACTTTCGGCATCAGGTGAAACAGTAAAACTAGTTAGACATACAATTGGTTCCCAGAAAAATGCGTATTCCAACAACTCCGCAATTGAAAAATGCGCAAACAGGAAATGCGCAAATACAAACTAATTATACAAATACGCTTTAATCGTGTCTTATTCCGGAGAAATATGTTTATGCTACAATGTACACGTTTTCACTCTTTGTCTATAAATGCTCGATTTTAGAAAATAAAAACCCCCTTGCACATTTTTTTTTTGCGTGCATTTTTCCGGTCACCCATACAATTTTATACATTTTCAAAGATGGCAATACTGACATACCAAAAAGTATTGTTAAGTAACAAAACAAATTATAAACTGTTTTAGATGTAAAGACCCCCCTCCCCCCCCCCCACTTCCAGTGACCTAGCGAGTGATTGGATGCAAGAGGTCATGACTTGATGACCATCAATTAAAAAAAAAAACGAAAGTTCAAAGTTCAGATCATACAGAAATAGCACAAGGTCATCAGGACTAGAGAAAGTTTTTTTTAATGATGAACAGTTCCAGGCATAACTAGAGACAGGTATAAAATAGGGTGGGGGAGGGGGGGGGGGCAACATAGACTAGGCGTATTTAGAGCTGGGAGATCACGGAGGTCAGAGAAATGATGACCGCTGGTCACGAAGGGCAAGGACACAAACAGAAATGGAAGTGTACATATTTTAATTAGTTACACAATTAAAAAAAATAATTAACAATTTTATAGAAAGGAATGACCCGAAGCTGCATAGATTTAATAAATTGAAAGTTTTTTTGTTTATGTTAAAAGCTTTAGTAGAGGCAGAAATATAATCCTTATTCAAAGAGTTCAAGGCACATGTGAAATGTACACGATACTTTTATGTGTATACAGACAACTTATTTTAAGTTAGAGAACATAATTAGGTTAGTCAACAACTCATGTGTACCCACATATTAATGACGTCATCTGATAGTTTGGAAGATATTTATAGTTTTGTATAAAACTAAGTTTTAAATATGTAAAATAAAAAAACATTGTGTTGTTATTCTTTTCAATATGATTTAATTTGCTAGCTTATTTATAAATAATACATCTATAATTAGAAATATATGGTTACACCCCCAATAGGGCTGTTAAGTAGGTCACCAACCAGTTCTATGGCTCATGCAGGTTTTATTGAGCCTCAGAACTGGTTGGTGACCTACTTACCAACCCTATATATAGCCATGGCAGGTACAAAAAAAATCTTGTAATAAGTGAGCACAGGGATAGTTTATGAAATACAGATGGCCAAATATTGTATCGCAATTGAACATGGCCTTATAATGATTACCGATGGCCTGAAACTATCAAGATTACCGATGGCCTAAGACTACAACGATTACATAATGCCTAAAACTAAAAATATTACAATATTACACATGGCCTAAATCTATTACATTTACAGATTGCCTGAACTATCATGATCGAAAGTGGCGTAAAAATGTAACAATTACAGATGACCTAAGACTGAACTGATTACAGATGGCCTAGAACCATGACAATTACAGATGGCCTAGAACTATCATGATTGACAATGGCCTAAAACTATCACAACTTGGCCAACACAGCCAGTAACTTGCTGTCAACAAAATTATACAACGAGATGAAAGGAAAAAAACAATTTGTATACACACGCTGTGTGCACCTAAATGGAACGTGAAAAACTTGCAAAATATTTGCAACATAAATAACAACTTGCAACACACCCTCCGTCAATAATCATGAAACACATTTCCCCTCTTCAACAACGAGTGTAAATATTCCGGACATTTATATCCGAATAGGGTGTAGTCCGCGGAAAATATTTTGTAGATATTGTTCAAGTCTGTGGCGCTGACATCAGCGTACATTTTGGACAGTTCTTTTTCTTGGAGCGGCTTGCTGTCCCACACGTAGGGCTTCTTGAGCTTTTTGTTAGCGTTAAGCTTAACTAAAACCTGCTCAGTGTCTTTCTCTACATCTTCGTACGTGCCCACGAAGTTGTAGTCTACGAGGCACGGATGGCACTGTTTGTAGAACTGTTGCCAGTGTTCGTTCAGGCTGATACTGCCTGAATGTTCGCTGTCCACGATATATTTGACGAACTCGGAGAATTTGACGTCACTTCCGTCTTTTTTATCTTTATCTTTAGCGTTGACGCGATATTTTGTGATGATCTGTGTCCCGAAGACTTTGTGGAAGTATTTCGACGATTTAGCGACGAGTTTGGTTTTGTAGGCGTTGACCAGCCGTTCTAAGGGATCACGAACAAAAACAACTTTGTAGAACTTGGTCAGCATCTCCACCCTCTGTTTCTCGTCGTAGTCTGATAGTCTTTTAGGAATTTTGGCGTACTTCCCAAACACGTCGCCGCCGGAAATGGATCCGGTTGAGGTGGCGTTGACGGTTCCGCTGAGGATGAGTAAAATTTTCCGCCAATCGTTTAGTGCCACACCGGGGATCTGGCAGAAGAGCAGCTTGTGTTTCTCGTCCACTAGGATGGAGGTCAACTTGGACGTGGCCACCTGCTGGTAGGGCACCTTGTGGGGGTGCTGCTGCTTGCACCACTGCTGCAGGTTGGCCACCCGCGCTTCCGCCGCCGTCAGCTTCTTCACCGGCGCGGCTGTGGGTGGCTTCTGGTCCACGGGGGGTACGGATCCTGCATGCACCGCGGGTACAGGTGGGTTGTTGCCGGCGTCAGGCGGTACTCCAGCGTTAGGTACCTGAAGCAATCACATCAACACATTAGCAGGTGGTCAATCATTAATTACATTGGCTATTTTTTTTACATTTAGGCGTCATTTTAAAATCTTTAGTTACCATTATCATGAAAAAGTAAAAACAAAAAAAAGTTGAATGAAAAAAAAATAAAAAATACTCACGGGCTGAGGGGCAGATAGGTTTGCGCTCCTACCATCTGAAAATAAGATGAAATCGTTTAACATTGAGATACATATGTAAAGTGGGAAGTATGAGATTATTATACAGAGCTTAAATTTTAGAAACATTCAACAGTAATTAAAGAACAAAACTTGCGCATACAAGAATTGGTTTCACAACGAACGAGAAAGTGTCAAGTTCAAAAAATTTTTTTTGTGATGGTACCAAAACTTTTGTTTTCATGAAAGTTAAAAAAAAGACATTTACCGGTCTTGAGGCCCCTGACGCCCACCAAATGGGGGTGGTCGTACGTTCGGTAGGTTTCAGTAGCATCAAACACCCGCCAATGACCTGTTAGAATAAAGGTCAGTTGGTCATGAAATTAATAAGAGTTTTTGACCGAATTCTCAGGTCAGATTAACACATTATCTACTTTAAAACCTACAATAAAGTCATAGTTTTAATCAACGTAAAGCATAATGAGTAAAAAACCCCAACTAAACGATGTTAACAAAGTGCAGATGGCGCAGCCAGTTAGTGCAGTAGACCTCTAGTATTATAACCGAGTCGGCCTTTGATCAGAGAAAATAGTTTTATTGTTACAGCCGCACACACAACAAAGGCAAACACCGCCCTTAATCTACCTAACCATAAACTTTAACTGCAGAATATAAATTAGCCAGATAATTAGATTGTGTTCTTCTTTGCAACACTCGACCTATCAGCATTAACATGACCTATATGTACAAGACTCGACATATCCACACAGAACATGACCTATCTGTACCAGGACCTATCAGAACTAACATGAAATATCTGTACCAGGACCTATCAGAACTAACATGAAATATCTGTACCAGGACCTATCAGAACTAACATGACCTATCTGTATCAGGACCTATCCGAACTAACATGACCTACCTGTATCAGGACCTATCCGAACTAACATGACCTATCTGTACAAGCCCCGACCTATACGCACTGCCAGTCTAAAAACAGAATAACATTTTTTACCAGCAGTCGCAGGCTCTTCACGAAACTCGGAACTTCACGAGCAGTGTTGTGGATAAAATTAACCACGACAGGTATTGACAAATTTCTCATGTAATTTGAACTGAAACAGCATTAAGGGAAGCAACCCGCTAGATAACCGCGCTTGCCATCGGAGGAAGAGTTATCGTTTCGTGGAAAACAGCTGATAAAAACAAACAAGATGAAACCTTCAACTTACTTTAATTATCAATCTGTCGTGGCGTTGTAAGGATCTTCGTCAAAAACTAATTAACAGGGGCTTAAGTCTAAGTGCAATGTCATTTTTATGTTTATTTACAACTTGAGTAGATGTGCATGTACATTTTTTTATAAAGTTTGCGAAACAAAATAAAGACAAAAATAAAAATAAAATAACGCAGTTTTTGTAGTTTTAAAGCATTTTTAGCGTTCCCAGCACTAGACCAGTCTTCGGATTTTTAAAATGAATGTTCCAAAAATAGAAAAACGGAAAACCCCCGCATCAGTTACAACATGGAGAGCCAAGAAACACAAGGGAAGGCGAAATATTGAATTACATCACTCTATCGGTACATAGGAAAAATAAACAGCTTCAGAAATTTAAAATTTTTACTAGTATAAGATCGGAATTCAATTTTTTTCTAAATCCATAGTTGAATCAGTACGCTATAGTGTATTTGAATCAGTATTATATGGTATAGTTGAATGAGTGCATTATGGTATGGCGGACTCAGAACATTATGGATTACCTTAATCAGTACATTATGGATTACCCCAATCAGTACATTATGGATTACCCCAATCAGAACATTATGGATTACCTTAATCAGTACATTATGGATTACCCCAATCAGTACATTATGGATTACCCCAATCAGTACATTATGGAGTACCTTAATCAGTACATTATGGAGTACCTTAATCAGTACATTATGGAGTACCGTAATCAGTACATTATGGAGTACCTTAATCAGTACATTATGGAGTACCTTAATCAGTACATTATGGAGTACCTTAATCAGTACATTATGGAGTACCTTAATCAGTACATTATGGATTACCTTAATCAGTACATTATGGAGTACCTTAATCAGTACATTATGGAGTACCTTAATCAGTACATTATGGATTACCTTAATCAGTACATTATGGAGTACCGTAATCAGTACATTATGGAGTACCTTAATCAGTACATTATGGATTACCTTAATCAGTACATTATGGAGTACCTTAATCAGTACATTATGGAGTACCGTAATCAGTACATTATGGAGTACCTTAATCAGTACATTATGGAGTACCGTAATCAGTACATTATGGATTACCCCAATCAGTACATTATGGAGTACCTTAATCAGTACATTATGGAGTACCTTAATCAGTACATTATGGAGTCACCATGGTACTGTTGTTTGCAGGTGAGGTTAAAAAAAACAACGGAGATATGAACAAGTGCACGAAACATTCTCTTTATACATGTCGACAATCCTCGACAGAATGTAGACATGCTACAAAATTAGCATCGCAACGTACAGCTACAAATGTAGTATTACGGCATACACATACAGGTGTAGCCAGACATAAATGTAACATACCATGAGCATACAAATGTAGCATTGCTACAAACGCCACGCACGAAGATACTGGGCTAAATATTTACATGAGCAAACATTGCCAGACACCAAAATACACCGTCTGACATCTTCAGCGGTTCTAACAATATCTGCAAAACACCACAAAGTCTTGGCCCAACCGTCATAATCTGACCAGTGAAAAGTTGTCATATTAACAGATCAGAGGTAACCTTTAAGACAACAACACATGAATAGAGCAGTGGCTCTAAATATTTTAGGAAAGCGTTGTTTCTTTCAGATATTTTCTTCCGGGAGGGGAAGGGGTTACTAGGGGTCATCCATAAATGACGTCACGCTTTTTTGACGATTTTTACCTCCCCCACCCCTCCGTCACACATCGTCACAAAAAGCCAGACCCCCCCCCTAAGGTGACGTCATCTCAGCCACTCAAATTGCTATTGAATTTTTCTTAAAAGATCGACATATTTCCTATACTGTGTCTGAAATCTGTCAACACAGAGTATTTTAATCAATTCCTATTACAATTTATCAAAAACAGTTTTCTAAAACGTTAAATACCAGCTACAACTCGTTTTGTAACATTGCTTTTTTATAATGCAGAATTGTGACGTCACACCATCTGACCCCCCCCCCCCTCCCCCTTACACACACCGTCACAAAATTACTGAATCCCTCCCCCGCCCTACGAGTGTGACGTTATTTATGGACGACCCCCTATGGATGCTAGTTAATAATATTATTTGTATATTAATTCTAATCTACTACGTTTGGGGGCGGAGGGGTGGGCTGTACTTGGTAGACGTGCTTTGGGAGGGCGGGGGGGGGGGGGGGGGGGAAGGTTATCCCTCCTTTAACTAACTTTCTATTGGCAGTGCATGATTTTTTTTTAGAAGCGCTGGGAATGTCTTTAAGACGTAAACTATCACACACCTGTGGCAGTTTACTGTACGATTTATGATTATGTTTTTTTATAAAGGTAACCTGCCATTTGTTTGGAACACACAATTATATCTGCACACAAAAATGCTGACTGTTATTTTGTGCAAAAAAAGAAAAGCTTTGAAATTGGAAAACATTATAAAATTATATATCTTAGTATGTTTATACACTCTTTTACCGTGCTAATAAACAATAGATAAAAACTAGCCATCAAACGAAATATTTGTATTGTGACCGACAAGATGGCGGCGACGTCATGCTGTGACCTCACGAGGATATGTCGAGCATGCGCAGACACTGGGGTCAGCGTGAATATGGGTTTTAGGGTTTCAACAACGTTGAGGAGTGCCCTGATTGGCCACAAAACGTTTAATTAGCATGTAATTTGCCAACGTAAATTTAATAAACACTCAATTTACGGAATCCTTTGATGAAGTTTATTGTTTTTCTTGACAAAATGGTTTATCGAAAGTAGTGACGTAGACGAGGATGGGTTGTTTAGAGTACAAACTTCTTAAGTGGTTATATTATATATATATATATATATATATATATATATATATATATATATATATATATATATATATATATATATATATATATATATATATATATATATATATATATATATATATATATATAATATATATATTATATATATATATATTATATATATATATATTATATATATATATATATATATATATATATATATATATATATATATATATATATATATATATATATATATAAATATATATAAATATATATATATATATATATATATATATGTATTTATATAAATATATACGTATATATATATATGTATATATGTATATATACATATATATATACACACATATATTTATTTATATAAATATATACGTATATATATGTATATATGTATATATATACATATATACATACACATATATCGTCTGTCACCTGTGATCTGTGCATACCCCCCCCCCCCCCACCTTAACCCTCCGTCCAAGCCCCTGTGCCCTGTGTAAGTATGAGAACCCCTCTAGTTCACGACTAAGATTCACGTTTCTTGTGTTTGTTACGGAGCGAGCTAAGACAAATACGCAAGGTCTGCTCGTTCTACTAGCTGCTGGAGTTTTTTAAAATACAAACAGCTTGGAGAGTTTGACGGCGAAGCAAATTTAGATCGAGATTTTTTTTTTTTTTTATCTTCAGCTTTTTTCTTCAGCAACATACAGGAGTTAATTATTGGCATGTCGGGTTTAGGTCATTTGAAGCAGGTCAGAGTAAGTAGGGATTGGGGGTGGAGGTTGTGGGGAGGGAAGAGTGTGGGAGGTGAGGTAGGGAGGTAGGAGGTGGGAAGTGTCGTGTGATTAGGTTGAGAGGTTTTGTGATGCTGGGTGGTATGGTTGTGTGGTGTGGTTGGGTGGTGTGGTTGGTTGGTGTGGTGTGGTAGGGTGGTGTGGTTGGGTGGTGTGGTTGGGTGGTGTGGTGTGGTTGGGTGGTGTGGTTGGGTGGTGTGGTTGTGTGGTGTGGTTGGGCGTGGTTGGGTGGTGTGGTAGGGTGGTGTGGTTGGGTGGTGTGGTGTGGTTGGGTGGTGTGGTTGGGTGGTGTGGTTGGGTGGTGTGGTTGGGTGGTGTGGTTGGGTGGTGTGGTTGGGTGGTGTGGTGTGGTTGGGTGGTGTGGTTGGGTGGTGTGGTGTGGTTGGGTGGTGTGGTTGGGTGGTGTGGTTGGGTGGTGTGGTGTGGTTGGGTGGTGTGGTTGGGTGGTGTGGTTGGGTGGTGTGGTAGGGTGGTGTGGTTGGGTGGTGTGGTGTGGTAG